CAGTCCCCGCCCCGGCCGCCATTGGGCGCCGCCCCGCGCTGCCGGCCCTCGCGCCCCGCCCCCGCCCGTTAGCGGCCGTTAGGGCCGTGCGCGGGGGACGGTTGGGTTTTGGGCGGGGCGGCGGGGGGACCGGAGGCAGGGGCTAAACTGAAGTGACCCCCTGGGAGAAGCGGGATTTTCCCGCTCTGGTGGAAGGCGGGAAGTGGATGCGCGCTGATGCGGCTGACATTAGGGGTAAATGTCAAAGGCTGCTGCCGCCTGCGGAGCCTCGTCCTCTTCCCCAGAGGGCTGGAAGGGCTCCGGAAGGCTGGAAAGCGCTTCTGTGAGCGTTCCTGGAGGTTCCTCTGAAACCCGTGTGCATCTCCAGAAGGGTTTTGGGGGTAGGGTGAAATTTGCTGAAGATTCTGAGGTTTTTCTCCTCTGCTAAGGTGACTATGAGGTAAATTTGAATCCGTTCAGCAAGGGTGTGATTCCCTCCTCCATAGGATGGATTCATCAGTGCAAAAGATTTTTCTCCTGTAGGGAATAAATTTGCATTGACCTTGTTCAAGACAAGGAAATGAACCAGACAACTTGGCAAGACTCTTCCATCTCTAACCCTGGAGATGGCTGCCGACTGATAACAGCAGGTTATGCTGCTGTTCCCTCCTTCCCGGAACAACGAAACCCTGCAGCTGAAAAGTCAAGGGTTGTGCCAAGCTTAAAGTGCTGAAGGGAACTATATTGCTCTGTGGCTCCAAATGTTTTGTCCTGTAGATGCATCATTGCAGACTTCCAAATAGAAGATGAGCAACTTTGGAAGTTGAAAAAGAAAGAACCAACAGCTACTGCGCCTTCCATTCATTGCCCCCTCCATGCTCTTGAGGCAGCAGACAAGCAATTCTTGCCCACCCTTAGCAGCCAAGAAGTCAGGACTGGAAAATAAAACACACAACTTGTAAATTGTTGTCTAAAGAGCAGAGATAGCTCTAAAAACAGCAGGAGAAGGTCTTAATAGGCAAAGAATAAAAGGAGGCTTCTTTGCCACTTCTTTCCTGCGTGATTTTTAATTCTGTCTTTAAAAGCATGTACTAAACCAGAGGTTATTCAAAACACATGCAGCACAGTGTTATGTTGGTTTGCATTAACTGAGTGACCTTTATTAAAATGTACAATAAAATGCATATCTTAAATGGAAAAAAAAGTCAGGATGAGAATATAGCTTATACTTATTCTAGCTTTGATAGGTAGTACTGAAAGGTATGGTAGGTGCTTCCAAGGTGTTCACAATGTAAGGTGTTTTCTTACATCAGCACATCCGTGTGAAATTGTATGAAAGAAGGGGAGAAAGTTGAAACTCGTCCGGAAACTTTAAAATCCAGCAAACCTGTTAATATACAGGGCACAATATTCAAAATTTGTGCCCCATCGCTGTGAATATGTACCATGAGATGAGAAAACTGTCAGCTTTACACTATTTTGAAGAGATTTATTTCTTTATGTCAGTAGATTGTTACCCTGGCCTGAGCATCACAGGAGTCCTGAGAAGGCCACAATTACTGCAGCTTCGCACTGTGCTCGAGGACAGACCTTGGTCACGCCAACACCGCTGCCCTCCAGCAGCACTGACCGGCAAAGGGGAATCAGCCGCTTCCCCGCCGCTGGAATTTGATACTCCCTGAATTTGTCAGTAACCTACAATTCCCGAGTGTGCGTGCCGAGGAAATGGCAGATCTCCACAGACGACCCATCTGTGGCTGAGGGCTGGTGCAGAAGTTAGTTTTGCAGGCAGTTTTACAACGGTGCTCGCTTTCGCCCCATTTTCGAAGGCTTTCTCCAAAGTCCACGAAAGCTCTGTGCGTGTGTGTGGGGGAGGATAATGTTTTAAAATCAATAGCGAGAGCAGGGGAGCACAGTCGGGATCCTAAGGAAATCCGCGGGGCCGCTCCCCGGCACAGGGCTCCGCGGCAGCGGCGGGACGGGACGGGACGGGAAGGAGTGGCGCGCGGGGCGGCGCGGCGGCCTCGGGGCCGCCCCCTCGCTCGCTGCCTCCCTCCCTCCTTCCCTGCTGCTCGCCGCTCTCTGTGTCGGGAAGTTGGAGCCGGGGCGGTTTCGCTCCGCGGCGGCGCCGGGCGGCTCCTGGGCTCCCGCGCAGGCGGCCATGGGCACGTAGCGGGCGGCTGAGCCATGCCCGGCCCGGCGCTGCGCCGCGGCTCGCTGGGCACGGTAAGCGGGGGCGGGACGGGACCGGGACGGGGCTGCGGGGCGCTGGCGGCCAGCGCAGCTCTTGGCCGCCGCCCCGGGCGCTGCGCGGTCGCGGCGGGGCTGGGGGCGGCTGCTGCCGCGCAGTTCCCCGCGGCGGGGGAGGCTGGCTCGCAGCCTCCGGCGCTGCCGTGGCCCGCGGGGCTCCGCCGGCAGCAGCGCGGCTCGCTCTTCCTCTCGTTTTCCGCCCTGCTCTGCATCTAGTTCAAGCTCCCGGTGCGGGAGGAGCGGCTGGGGGCGCAGCCATTTTCTGCCGCGGAGCGGGAGCGCCGGGGGGGGGGAGACGGGGGGGGGCGCGGTCATGGCGGGGGCCGCTCTAACGGCCGCCGCGCTGCGGGGTGAATGTCCTCCCGGCCGCGTGTCCGCAGCGGCGGCGCCGGCTGCCGCTCGCTCCTGCGCCACGGAAAGCGCCTCTCGGCTCCGCGGGAGCGGGCATCGTTTCCTGGTGGCGCGGCGCGGCGTCTGTCAGCTGCTCCCGTGCCCCATGTAGCCTCCCTTGGGTGTCTGTTAAGTTATTCTTCATACTTGTGAGGAGGAAAAGTTGGGTTTTCTTCTCTTCCCTCTCATTTCTTTTTTCCTGCTATCTCCAGAAGCCCGCAGTACAGCCTGCTGTATCGTTACTATTTGTGAAACTGTGAGTTTGCCATTTTTAATGATACCTAGCACTCTGATATACCCCTATATTGTAGCGTACAATTGACAAAGTCACGCTTTCTATATCCTAGTGTAGAATTTACCAAGTCATGCTTTTTTGTCCCCTCATCACTGAGAATTACAGTAACAAACGCCCTGCACAGGAATCACAGTGCTGATAAGCTAACTTGCTGACAGAAGGTTTTGACTGTTCAAAAGTTACTTTCCTCCTTTCTTCCAGACTTTTTCGCTTGTTTTTGGAACCAGGTAGCAAGCTGCGGAGCAGAGTACTCCCACTTGGTAGTTTGGATGGTGCTGCTGTGCCGGTGCGTGATGCGGCTCCGGACTGTGCGCCTCTTACTCACAGCACTTAGTCACAAAATGCCCCCAAACCATTGGGTTCTCCTAACTCATTGCCTTCAGATGAGAAATACACTGCAGGAAAGGTGTCCTTTACTAGGATTACTGCAAGCTGTGCAGTGCTGCTGCAGGCTTGGGGCAGAGGGGCAGGAGAGCTGCAGGCGGGAAAGGACCTGCAGGAAGGAGGTTGCAGTGAAGCGAGGGTCGGTCTCTTCTCCGGAATAACTCTGGATAGGACAGGAGGAAATGGCCTCAAGTTATGCCATGAGAAGTTCAGGTTAGACAGTAGGAAGAATTTCTCCATGGAAAGAGTGGAGAAGCAGTGGAACAGGCTGCCCAGGAAAGTGATGGAGTCACTGTCCCTGGCAGTGCTCAAGAAACGTGTAGATGAGGCACTTGGGGACATGGTTAAGAGGCAGGGCACTGCAGGATTTACAGTTGGACATGATGATCTTGAAGGTGTTTGCAACCATAATGATTCTAGGATTCTACTTTTTTTCTCCAGGTTCTCAGTTACTCCACAGATTATCTGTAATACAGATTATCTGTATGTTTTTCAAAAAAGCATACTGCTTTCTTCAGTTTTACAATTTTGCACTCTGTTGCATGACCATTTACTTTCCATATCCTTCTACATTAGCCCTCCAGATCTTTGTTACTTTCTTGATGTCCCTCTTCTAGTCTTCTGATTGTTTTATGTTTCCTCTGATTCTTCAGAATTTCCTGTAATTCCTTGCACACTTTTTATTTCTCCTTGCCTGCCCTTAGCCTCTTTTCCTGTTCCTTTCTGTTTCCCTATGTGCTCCATAGCTTTCTCAGAGTGTGTGGGGAGGAAAAGAGCACTGTTGTCCCTAAAGTTGGTGTGTTTTACGTGTCATTCAGACAATTTTTAATGGTAGTCTCCTTTAGTAAAGGCAGTTTACTCTTACAAGAAAGGAGCTGAACTGAACTACTAAGTGGCTCAAACCACTAACCAAACTGGCCAACAGCAGATGCCTACCAAGGTTTTTAGAGCCGGGCAAGCATGCAGTAATGAATAAAATACTTCCCCAGCATCTGGTGAGCGGTAACTGTAGGAATTCCTGAGTCAAAGCAATGACTCATATTTAGGATCCCCAAGCACAGTTTTCTGACACTGATAGGTGCATTCGATTTTGGAAGCCAGGGATGCTGCTGGCAGCCCCAGTCACCACATGTCAACCAAGTGCTGGCTAAAAGCACTTGGAGTCTCCTTTTCTGGAGGTCTTCAAAACCCGCCTGGATGCCGCCCTGTGCCCCGTGCTCTGGGTGTCCCTGCTGGAGCAGGAAGGTTGGACTAGATGATCTCTAGAGGTTCCTTCCAACCTTCAATGTTCTGTGATTCTGTGAAAACAGCACCTCACCTTGTTTTGCACTGGCCTCTTGCTTGCTTTATGTGCTTCCTTTGGGAAGAGACAGAGAACAACCACCCCTGTTCACCTTCTCCACACCATTTGGGGTTCTTGCTGCCTTTCCCAGTACCTTTTCGGGGTTAACCGTATGCTTTTCAGGATTGGCGCACCAGAACTGCACTCGATATTCAAGGCATGTGTTTGTTATGGATTTATATGTTGGCACAGGGATATTCTCTGTTTGGTTCTCAAATCCTTTCCTAATGACTCCTAACCTTTGAGTGCATTTCTGATTGTTTTGTCAAACTAGGTTGCCTCATTTTTTTTTCCTGCTTATTAATGTAATTTTATACTTTTGATGGCTCTCTACTTCTAGCAAAGTGGCACGCATTCATATCCATGCCTTTAACAATTTCAGCTACTTAATTTCTCACAGGTGCTGATTTTCATCGGTTTGTATGCCTTTCCTTTCTAAGTAATCCTTGTATCACATTAGCCTTATTATTTGGAGGAGAAAACCCTATCATCCAACGTGTTATCTGTTTCTTTAATCATTACAAAATGACTTCGCTTTTATTTGGGACAAATGCCTGGTTATTCTGTTCCACATTCTTAACCTTGCCCTTTGGATAACTGGTTATTTCCTTCCAGTCCTTGGTACAGGCCTTTTTGTTACAGTTTTTGGAGCCTTACGATAGACAGAGTTTCTCAAAACATCACTGCATGTACCTGGCAAAATTATGAGAAATGAGTTGATCAGAAATCAGGGCAAGGAGCAGCTGAACCTGGAGGCCTCCCAGGCTGGTGTCAAGCATTTAGCAGCCGCTCGAGAGCAAAGCGTGGAGGCCCTCCTCAAGGAAAAGAAAAGAAAAAAGAAGAGGAGAGGGGAGAGGAGAGGGGAGAGGAGAGGAGAGGAGAGGGAAAAAAGGGCCTTCTCCGTTACATGAAAGCTATTGTCCATTTCCTGGATTTCAGCAGGGTCTAAAATCAAGTACACCAGTGTCTAAAATAAAGTACCCCAGTTCATAAAATGGAGGATTATTTATGATGATAGTTCTTGTATCCTTCCTCTGACCTTTCCAGGTTTTAGCGAGCACTGAGAAAAGCTTCCTGTAAATGTTGCTTTAATATACATTTCTCAATGTTTAAAGCAGAAGTTCTGATTTCCCATATGTCTCTCTGTGTTGAGCTAAAAAACATGCGAGCCTGGAGGAGCTTTTGATAATGGCCGAGGCAGGGGAAGAACTGGAGGGAATCTTGTACCCGAATTTCTTTGGTGGCTCATTAGTCTGAGTGGGATCTCTGCTTTCTTCCAGACTTTAATTGTAATGCCTCATCAAAAAGAAGAGCAGATTACTGATACATAGACTACTTGTGCAATTGGTGTATACCGTGACATATTCTTAAGCAAAGGATAGTTGCCTACTTGATTACAGTTTTTCAGACGTTTCTTAGTGACTTGTACTGCCTTTTATTTGCAATTAGTCTATGCATTGGTTTTGCAAAATGGAAGCTTATCTTCTTGAGAGAGAAGCGACTGCCTGAACTGTTGGGCTGGGCAGTGCTTCATTACATGAGGAATGTGTTGGATAGACACAGAGCAAGAAAAGCAGTCGGGCTCGTAGCTCTGTGCAGGGAGGGGAGCGGAAAGCGGCCCAGGAGGGCTGGGCAGCACAAGGCTGAGTTGGACGGGGCAGGTGATACAGGGCTGTGGCCCTGGTTTCCTTGCGGACATCGGCAGGTGATTGGGAAGTGGTGCTGACAACAGCTCTGGTTCTTGCTTCTTTGCAGCCTTTTTGCTTCAAGGATGTTTCTGCCCTTGACTTACAGGGTGTCGATGTTGTCCTGCTTGCAGCTCTCCATGCACAGTCCAGCGAGGCAGGAGCAGCAGCGGGCATGTGAATTCTTGTGGAAGTGGCACCTAAAGTGCATTTGAGGCTGAAGATGCTGCAGGAGCTTGTAACTTATGTCCCTGCCTTCAGAATCTTGCAAGGAAAGGCTCAGGCGCTTGTGCTATGTTCTTTGCCATAGCTGTCAGCCAGGAGGTGTTTTGGGGATGGGAAAAAGAGCTGGATTTCCTTCGCACTAAGGACAGGAACATGCAGAGTATCCAGCTATCACCTGAAGGTGTAATAATACCTTTAAGGAATGGAAACGGCTTTAGGGAAATGGCATTCTCACCTCCACCTTTGCTGTTTTATTTATCGCTCCGTGAGTTTGAGGAGCGAAGCCAGGAGTTCCTGCTCACTCCTTTTCTCTGGGCAGTCCCTGCTAACAAACGTGAGTCACGGGTGAGCACGTTGTGGTCTGGCGGCGCGAGCTCCCGTGGGCCGCGGTCAGTGCCGGCTGCCCACGGCTCTGCGCTCCGGACCCACTCCGGCTCCGCCGTGCGCGTCTGGCAGCAGGAAATCACTGCGCTCGCCAGGCTTTCCCCTGGCAAGCCTGTGTTTCTGGTGAAGGGCTTCGGAGCTTGATGCTGGTCTGTGTTTCCTGGGTTCTGTGAAGCTTACTGTGGGTAAAAGCAGCGTAACTGCTTGATGGTTTGGGGAGCTAAGGTGGTGGTGGGTTTTTTTTTTCCCTGTATGTTTTTTCTGGAAGGTCAAGACATGGGTTGTGAGTCACTTGTGATTTGACCCTTTGTTGCCCCCAAGATCTTGAGCAGCAGTAACAAAGGTGTTAAGTCTGGCACAATTCCACTTAAAGTTGCTTTTGCTTAATCCGAATCACTGAAAACACCTTTTCTATTTTCTTTTGGAGACCGTATCTGAACCATCTCCTGTTTCTGGCTAGAGATTTTCATGCTTTCCTATGTTTATATTCTTGACTTGGCTGGCTTCTGGGCCAGCTGTATTATATTCTCATGTTGGAGGATTAACCACTGGCTACAGCATCTATTTTTAATTTATTCTTCATTTTATTTGGTACGTGAGAACATCTGTGGGGAGTGATCTTTCACCCATTTTCTTGCAAAGCAGGAAGACTTGCAAGACTGTCAGCTGCAGAAATGAGCTTGCCTTCTTACCGACCCATTGCTGGAGAGCCTGCCCTGCGGTCAGTGCATTAAGTCCTCTAATGGTAGCTACTTAAATACCTCGTTGTTTGCTCCTGCTTGCAGTTTTAGCAACTGGTGCATTGAATGTGTCTTCTGTATTTTGTAGCTTCCGCAATTTTTGAAAAATGACTTTCTTGCTTTGTCAGAGTTGGAAACTCCTATCTTTTCTGAGGTTTTTAACAGCCTGCCTGTGCATAACTTTCCCCAAAAAAACCTTTAATTCTGAAAGAGAAACAGGATAGCCCAGGGCTGTTGTAGCCGCCTCATTCGGCATATCCTTTCTTACACTTGCAACCACAGAATTGGTATCAGCGTTGTGGTTTACCCTCGTTGGTTTACTTTACTTCAGTAGAGCTCTCCTAGCTGAAAAAGCAAAAAGAAAACAACCCCCCGAAACTATGCCTGAACAGCTAGGCTTTGCAGCTTTCAAAAAGGAAGCTAGGAAAAAACAATAGTGCAGTGTAATAAAACTCGGTGCGAGATTTTCATGGAAGGCGAGGGGTGGTATTTACTTTCAAAAATAAAAATCGAGTTGGTCTTTATGCGCTTGCGTTGCCTCGTGCAGGGGCTTCCTGCAGAGCTCGCGTCGCCTCTCCGGGGTTCTTCTCAGCAAGCAAGTTTTTGGAGAGCTCTTTGATACCCTGTAGGGAATCAGAAAGATAAATTTTAAAAACATAAAAAAAGATCAGCTGCTAAGGACTGGACTGCTGTCTGCAGATCTTGCTGACTTCAGGCTCTGTAAAACTTAAAGAGGTTGTTGCATGTGCTTTTTTTCTCTCAACTACTCTACTTTTACTCTACTCTGCTTTTACTCTTACTTTTTACTTTACTTTTTTCCCCTCCGTCCTTGTTTGGATCCGTGCCGCTGGTTCCGATGGAGGGAAGGGCCGTGCGGGTCCGGCCGTGGGGGCTGGTGCTGCTGAGTCACCCCGCGGCGCTCCTGGCCCGCTGTGCGCCGGCTCCTAAACAGCGCATTTCCCAATGTCGCTGCTGGGAACGGCCTCCGAGGACTGCATCCCGGGAACGCTGCCCCGCGGGGTCAGGACAGGCCCTTAGCTGCCTGCCTGCTCTTCCTCCTGCTACATGTGCGGGAGTTTATGGACACGCTGCAGTCACTTCAATCTTACTATTTCTGTTACAATTCTCAACATTAGAAAGAGCAAGTAAAATTTAAAGGGGAAAAAAGAAAAAAAAATCTATTTTCTAATTCCAAACTTCTCTGGTTTATTTATTCATTAGAAATGTAAGCACTGGATGCATCCTTCTCTGGAAATGTTCCTAGATTGAGAGCCTTCCCATGTTCCTTAGTAAAAGCATTCCTTTGCTCTTGAGTAACTTTCCTACAAGCTGTGGTGTTTTCAAAGCGTCTTGTCTGTATAAACTATACATCAGGAAAAGCAATATGCAGTCAGCTTGTCATAGAGACCGTCGTGTGGCATATTAATAACACAGATGGCAGATGTGCCTTTCCTTTCTTCTTTCCACAGATAATCTCCCTCCACGCTTGTGTCAGTTGAAGGTCCTGCTGTCAGAATTGGTCGAGTCAAATGAACTTGCTCAACTTGTTGCCATGGAATGTGATTTTTTTCTCACCTTGTTCCTTTCTCCCTCTCTCTCTGTTTACAGGTGATCCTAGCGTTTGTTTGTGTGTTGACTGAGGAATCTATAGAAATTGCTCCAGCACCATATACGCTGCAAGCCCATCGGGTAGCTTTGGATGGAAAAGACCCTGTTAGCCCCTTGAGGAGAGAAAAGAGGCAGGTGCAGTGTCTACTAGGACAATACCTACATCCAGAAGAGACCCACTGCTGCATGAGGTGCCATGCAGGTACATTGGAATAAAATAATTAGAACGATAGTGATCTATGCCTGAGAGGTGTCCACCTGCTCAGCACTCTCAAGCTATCTCAGTCCAACTTGGTGCTACCTTTCTTTGGCAGTAGTTGCTACCCAAATAATTCATTTCATTTATTTCAGTCTTCTTCCCTTGGTGTCCTTGATGCTGATGCAATGAAGTACACCCTGTTCTTCTACCATCAGCTTTAAAGTTTCTCTGAGGAGTCACTGACTCCTGACACAAAAGTGCCCGTCTTCCTGTCAGATGACTTTTAGATGATTCTTTTGCAGGTACCTACAAGGTAAAAGACTGTGATCGGCCTGAGCAGGCACCTGTCTGTCTTCCATGTGCTAATGGCACCTACACAGCAGTGGATAACACCATGTCTAAATGTTTCCAGTGTACTCAGTGCCGTTCAGGTGAGTCATCTGTGGGACCTGAGGGAAGGTGGTAGTTGCAGAGGGAGAGGGATTGGAGAAGGTGGCAAAATGAGTGAGGAGGAAACTTGAAGAAGCAACCAGCTGAGTGGGCCCAGGAACAGTGTAGAGAAAGGGATTTGGGGCAGCAGGAATGAGGGTTAGGAAGTTAGTGAACTTCAGCTGGAGGCACAACTTGCAGGCTTTTTGGACTTTCCCCTGGGAAGATTAAGGAATAACATAATTGGCCATCATAGTGGGTGACTCAGGTGAAGGTAACGGAAGAAGGTGATGATTTTTTTTCTTTCTTTCTTTATATTTTTTTTCAGATTTCTATCAGATAGTAGAGGCCCCGTGCACCCCAAAGCAAGATACAGTGTGTGGCTGTCGGAAGAATCAGTATCAGTTTGATGTACTGGATCGCTTCCTCTGTATGAACTGCAGCACGTGTCCCTATGGGATTATTGCCAACTGTAAGTATGGCACAGATACGGGTCCAGAACAGATACACGTACAGGCTGCTGGGATAGACATTAGCAGCCTTCACTGAAGTGCCTTGATTCTAGTTTTTTATATCTATATTTTTTTGACTCTTCATCTGTCCTGTTTTTTTTTTTTCCAGAAGGATTTTGCCATTTTTTTTGTCCGACTTGGTGGCAATTTTGATTTGCTGTCATAGGTTTTACCTTTCTGTCCTCAACTATTTTCTCCTCTTGGCCATCCTGAGAAAAGTTTTTACTTAATTCAAGTACCTCTGCTTGCCTTGCATGTACTGAAGCTAGGTCTTGTGTTCAGGAGCAGATTACCAGCTTGCCATTCTTTGTGTGGATCCTTTTCCCAGCAGCCTGAGGGAATTTCATTGCATTTGCCTCATCCGCTATTGAAAGGACCTTAAGAAAGTATAAGCTTCTTAAGAAGCGCTGCTTTCATACAGTTGCTGAGAGTTTTAGGCTGGGAGAGACCTCTGGAGGACATCTAGTCCAGTCCGCTGACTTCCAAGCTAGATATGTTGCTCAGAGCCTTGCTGAGTTTTGCCCGTCCCCAAAGAAGGTGATTCACCGTTTTGCCTGAGTTTCTGTTCCAGTGCTGAACCATCTCAAGGAAAAAAAAAAATAAAGAAGAAAAAAAATATATTCAATTGAAATTTCCTTTGTTTCAACTTGTGGCCATTGTCATAAGTTGTCCTTTGTCTGTGTCTCTGTAGGAAGAGGTTGGTTTAATGTTCTGTGCAAGTCCCTTTCCCCTCCACACCTTATATGCAGGAAGACTGCTGCTGTTATGGGAAGACTGTTCTTTTGGTGCTCTGATTTGATGCCTTTTCTCCTGCTTTATTGCACTCTTACCTCTTCTCCCCAGACTTGGAGGCATGTTAATTCCTCTGATTATTCCTGTGACTTTCTTTCTTTCTTTTTTTTCCCCCCACTTCCCTGCTCTTACTGTAAACCTGTGCATTGTATGGAGATGTAGAGCTCTGATTCAAAAGTTAGGAATACCACTTAGAAGTGATTAAGTAAATCTCTTAAATCTCTGTTTCTAATAGATACAGGTACCATTGGTCCCAGTGCCCAGGTGAGCTGCTTATCAGTTAGCTGCTGAACCACCACAATGTAAGATAATAATCTAAAGTAAAAAGACACCTGAGTAAGGTTGGAGTGTATCCAGTGGCATTTCTTCATCACCACTGTGATCTGGGGTGGTGTAGTTACCTGGAAGAAGTACCTAGGTTGGCTGTTGCCAATTGTGTCATTACTACTCAGGAATTAGAGACCTTGGCCCCTGTGCTATCCTCTACCTTGCTCTGTAGTATAATCCGATACATCCTTTAAAATTTTCTTACCTTGATGTCCTAATCCTCTTCTCCCTTTTCTGAAACTTCTGCTTTTTCTGTCTACCTCCAGATCTCTTACCAAACCTAGTGTGACTTTCAGTGTCCTGTAGGGGAACGCTTTCCCTCTGGTGCTTAGTGATTTTTCTCTGTCACAGCCTTGATGCTTATGCCCATCCTCAAGAGTCTTCCTCTGTCCTTGAGCAATTTCCTTCCCTTTTGTCTGGTGCAGAACTGTTTGAATCCTGTCTCTCACTTGCTGCACACTGTCCTCCTTATTTTTTTCCCTTTTTATCACCCCAGGTGTAATTTATGTCCTTCATTCACTTAAGAATAAGTTGTCCTTTTGCTCTCACACCTGTTTTGCCCAATTTTCATCCTGTGACTTGCTTAGAGGCAACAACTGCTGCATTTCTTTGCATTTTCATTCCCAGCAGAGCTTATCACAGTAGTGGATATGTGTCCCATGTCTTGAAGTGATTTCTCACTGCCCTGAAATAACTTCCTCACATCTCAGCTGCTCAGGAACCACTTCTCCCTCATATTTGCTTGACTAATGTGATTTTTCTTTTCCTGTCACGCTTGAACTACAGTGACTTTTCCACCCATCTGCACTACAACTACTTTTGCCCCTTAGCCCCTTAGGCTGCAGTGTGTTTTTTTCCCTTTTGTCAGTCACTAGAAAGGTTTCTGACCTACCAGGACAGTGATACTGTCAGCTTTATTTTTTGCTCCCCCTGTCCCCAAATATAGAGCGAGTCTTCTTTCTTATCTCCAGATGTAGTTCTCCAATCTCAAAGTGAGATTATCTTCCTCTCATTTTGGAGTAAATTTCCCCCCACTTTCCTTGCGAGTCCCACCTACAGCAACATCTTCCTGTTCTCCCTACAGGCTCAAAAAATAGAAACACAATTTGCAGGTGTAAGCCTGGCTTCTTCCTGGCAGAGGATAACATTTGCAAGCCTTGCAACAGGTGAGTTTTTGTCTCTGTATGTCTCGCCATTGAGTAGGAGAGACAGCAGACACCAGCCCAACAGATGTAGTGACTTGTGAGAAATGAATTTTCCTCAAAGCTTTGTCCATCTTGACATAACTTTCCAAAATATGGGCCTTCTGGAAAAATAGGGTCCCCCCACAGGCCTTCCCCATGCATACATCAAAACACCTAAGAACCAAAAGTTGGTAGAAACAGTGCCTGGCTCTGCTTTGCAGGCACAGGTTGACCTATCTGTTGACTAGGATTGTTGCACATGGCTTGTGTCTTGCTCCATACACGCTCACATCTCTGATTCAATCTTTCAGCTGCATTGAAGAAGAATGTCTACACTGTCATAGCCAAGTGACAGCCTCACCGACGCCGTCTGCACCACGTGAGTACTGGAGAAACTAAGGGACAGGAGGTTTCCTTCAATGTGTCCTTTTTTTTTTGTCAGCTTCTTCTGTCATGCCATTATTGCTTTCTCTACTCAAGCCAGTATTCTTTCTTTTTCTCTCTTACCATCTGCATGGGTTTATTTCTTTTTCTAGCGTTTCAGGCATTTCTTTTACTAGTGTTTGCATTTATCTCTTCCTTTCTCATTTACTCACTCATTTGTCGTCTTTGTTTTGTCCAGATGGCATCTTCTTCCTTTACATCATCATTGCAGTATTAGGAGTTATCGTTGTCCTCTGCATGGTAAATAAAGTGGTGAAGATGGTTCAGGAAAATGGGATAGTCTCTTCTTTCTACCCTTGTGGTGAGTATAGCAGACTATGGGGCGATTCTAACTGGGATGGACAGCAGCATGCATGGAGGAAGAGTGGGATCTCATTACTCTGCTTTGGTGTAAAGCCAGAGGAATATGATTACTCAACAGCTAAAGCTTACTGGTGCAGTTCTTGCAATACTGCATCCACACCCAGGCTGTGCCTGGAAGAGTGTTTGAACTCCTTGCTGGGAGATGCACATTTTGCTATAAAATCTGGTGAGGTCTTGTCAGGCTTATGAATAGCTGTTTTCTTTTTCTCTCTGGGAAGAGAAGAAGTAAAACTAATTCCTGTCTTTTTTGTTTCTCCTCTTTAAAGTTGTTTTGTCGCAGATGAACAGGGAGCCAGCATCCGAGGTGAGTAACATCAGAGCATCCCCTCTATCTTCAGATTTCAACCATGTAAACCTTTGAGCTGGAGTAACACTGTTTTCCGGGGGCTATTTCAGGGCTTGTACTTTCAAATCTCCTGAGCAATAGGGCTGTTTAACTGAAAGACCCTCCTTCTAGGTCTTTCTAGGTCTAGGGAGGTGCTGTTCCTCTCTACTAGTGGTTATTTTTCAAGCTCCTTTGGGCTGTTTTCATTCTGGAATCTTTTTTTTTTTTTTTCCAGACATCTGACTGTTAATCCTCTTTTTTTCTCCCTATATGTCCCAAACTGAAAGGATTTAACTCACTGAATTTCACTTCATATCTTTGCCCCACAACCCTCCCAGTGCTGCTTCATGGTGTTCCCTCAGGTCAAATACTGTTTTGCAGTTAAGAGCCCAGGCAATAATCAACATGGTGTTTCCACAACCGTGTGGAAAAGGATGATGTAAAGGTAGCACACAAAGCTTCTAGAATAATAATGAATCAGGCTTCCAGCCTGATGCAGTTTTACAGAGAAGCACTTCTTCCAGAGCATCATTTTCTGATGCCAAAAGAGTTGAACTCCTTAGTTTCTGCTAAAAATAAATTTTTGGTGCTTTGTGCTCAAACATGGCAGACAGGAAGGATTAAGGTCTCAGCACTTGCTGCGCTGCTGCCTTTGTTACATTGGAGTATATAAAGTAGTGTGGTTCTTTATGGGAGAAAGGTGCATTGTGCTGTTGTGGAGTGATGCCAAAGCAAAAGCATTACCTCTTTCAGGTTGAGGCAGAAAGGAACGTGACTTCCATCATTCTTCCTGAGTCCCAGCAGGAAACAGTTTTACTAGTGAACGCGACGCCACTGGCAGCACCGATGCCGCAAAGTTCACATGAGCTCCCAGACTGCGTCAGCCCCGCCAGGAAGACGCAGCTCCCAGACAGTGAGTGAAACTCCCCGTCCCTCCCCAGGCAAAGCAGGACGAGGCTGTGCAGACCTGCCTGGCAGGATGCGTGAGCGGGACAGTGAGGTGTCTGTGACACACGTGTGCTTCACATGCAGCACGAAGGCAGAAGCAGGCTCAGAGCCTGTGAGCCGTGCGCGGGTGGCCCTCGCTCCTTCTCCACCTGCCAGCAGAGTGAATTGCCGTGTGCGCTGCCATGTGGTCGGTCTCATGCCTCTGGGACCATGCCCCCTATGGAGGGTAACCCACTGTTGGGTGGTAAGAGCGAGTCTGGATGTCACCATCCAGAGTTGGTGGAGACCAACTCCAGACAGTGGAGACCATCACGTGGGTCTGTGTGATGACTGTGTGGAAGAGCTGAACAGGAGGGACAGTGCACAGTACCAAGGCACCACGCGGCAGTGGGTTGTTCAGCGTGTTCTCCAGGCTGTAGGATTCCAGGGTCTCACACTTTCTTTTCCTTCTTTCAGACCCAGCTATTCTCTACACTGTGGTGGATCATGTGCCGCCATCTCGGTGGAAAGAGTTTGTGAGGCGTCTGGGGCTCAGTGACTATGATCTAGAGCGAATTGAGATGGAGCATCGGCGCATACGAGATGCCCAGTATGAAATGCTTAGACTGTGGAAACTCCAGATGGGCCACGCAGCAACTGTTGAACGTATAAGCTGTGTCCTCAACCAGATGGAGCTGAGTGGCTGCAGTGAAGCTATTCAAGAGGCATTGCCAAACCAGAACTTTCTTCAACCTTGCAGCCTCCACAGCCATCCTTAATTTACTTCTGCTTTAGTTTCCCTTTCCAGGACTCTTAAAAGAGGATCATAACTCCTTTCATTTCTTCCCTTTTCCATACCTCACTCTCTAAACCTTCTCAAATGGATTTATTGGAGGCAGCAACAGACAATGCTAGAGGAAGGTTGAGGTTTGCTTGTCAACCATCATGTTGTTCGACATCTTAAAACCAAGAGAGGTCTCTACAACCACCCCTTTTCCAATAGGGGAAAGCACCTTGTAAAGGAAGTGCTATGTGGACTCCAACCAAGATGCAAAGGGGAACCTGAAGTGCTACGTGACTTCGTAGCTTAGCTACTCTATGGTCAAGTTGCTGCTGAAACAGATGTCTCCCTGCCACCCCACAACATGTGGCAGTTTAATAGTAGGGTGACATGATTGAGCTTTTCAAATGGTAAAATATTCATTTAAATTTTTGCTTTTTTTTTTTTTTTTTTTTTTTTTGCAAGTTTTTTTTTTTTTTTTTTTTTTTTTTTTTTTTTTTTTTTTTTTCCACTTAAATCATTTTCGTCCCGGAAATGTTATGTGGTTTTTTTTTGCAAGATCAGATAATTGAACTGGCTCACATTGCAGCCCTTTGATTGCTAAGTAAGACTTAAGGGAAGTGGTGGAGGACATACCTATTTCTGGGTGAGCAAATGGGTCCCTTTTGGCCTCAGCCAGGGTTACCACATTGGCTTTGCTGCAGATCACTGGCACCTTCAGTCCTCAGCACTGTGGCAGAAGAGTCATGGAGGTTTGGAAGTGCTGGCTCTATGGGAAATAAGAAAACGTCCTTTCCATGCTGCCTGTTTGCCTCAGGTTCAAGAGGAATAAGGATTTCAAGCCAGTTAGGAGGGTTGGTGCTTTTTCTCAAGTGCTTTTCAGCACGTGAAGAGCATATAAGGTAGCATTAACAAAGGAAAGGTGCGCCCCGTGTGTGGGGATGAGACGGTCCCTCTGTACCGGGTAGCACGGTGTACACCTCACATTGCATTTGCACAGAAGTCAGGAGGCTGGTGTCCGCCTGCCCGTGTGTCTCTGAGGGGTGTGCTGAATCTGATGTACACGCAAAAAGGACTATGTACATATATATATGTATACACAGTTTCAACAACTGCTGTATAACTTCACACTACTTCCCAGACTCCGATCTGCCGATACTACTTAGGTTTAAGAGACATTTTAACCCACCTCTGGGCTCGTATCTTTGCTTTCTCACAGGCCCTGCCCTGGATGAAGCAAAAGTAGCAAAAAGCTAATGGCCTGGGTCAGGTGCAGGCCATTCACACATTCATGAACATGGAGGGTGGGGTTTTTTTTTAAGGATCTTAAGGACCTTTAAGGACCAGAAATAAATTTTCTATTGTAAATACACTAAGAGCTCCGAAATAAAATACTTATTTTTAACTCTGTTGTGCTTTTGTCCCTCTCTCATCTCTACAGGGATGGGGGCAGAGCATGAGGAAAGGCCTCCATGAGCGTTGGGAGTCGAGTGCAGCCAAGGTGGAATTTAGGGATGGTGCAAAGGAGGCTCTGAAGTTTCGTAGATTAAAAACAGCTGCACTTAAGCCCCAGGAAGTGGCTGAGGGCAGGACTGAGAAGTGGCCCCATTGCCTCTCAGCTGTGTGACAAGAGCTGCAAAGGGGCTGCTAGCGTGTTATGCGTGATCTTTCTAAACAATGTCCAATAAGCCATCTTTAAAATCGAACTGTTAAGACATTAAAATAGTTGGAAGTAATATTTTAATATTACTTTATGAAGTTGTTTTCATGAAGAATTAAAAACTAATAGAGCAGCAGGGACCATTCCTACAGCATTTGAAAAAGCTGCAATTTGGAAGTTGCCAAGTTCACAACAGTTGGTGACAAAGCCAGGACGCCAAGTCCCAGCTCAGTGCTCTGGGAGTTTGCAGTGCTTAATTCTTACTTTTAAATCAAGCTGTTTTGCACAACCCAGCACTGAGGGAGGCTGGGTGGCTCTCAGAGCCCATTCCGTGGAGATTGCTCCCAGCAACGTTATTCCTTCAGCAAGGGCGGGATTTTAACCCAACTTCAGCCACGTGAAGGCGATTCCTGCGCGGAAGAAGAATGCAGGGGCTCCCGTTTCTAATTATTGCCCTAAAAAACAACGAAATCCAATAACAAAAGTTACTGGTGTTACTTATATCTACTTTTATATCTGTATTTATGTTACTCAAACCTATCCTGTACAGATCACATAGTAAATGAGGTTTAAATGAGAAAAACGGGTTTAACATTTAACGTTTAAAACAGTTAGCATGGCGGCAGAACCACCGCCCTCCCGGCCGCTGCGGCCCGCGCGCCGCGCCGCCTCCCGCCGTTGTTCCCGCCGCTGTTCCCGCCGCCGTTCCCGCCGCCATGGCCCTCAACAAGTCCATGCACGCGCGCAACCGCTACAAGGACAAGCCGCCCGACTTCGCCTACCTAGCCTCCAAGTACCCCGACTTCCTGCCGCATGTGCAGGCCACCCTGACGGGCAGGGTGAGGTAGGGCCGCGGGACGGGGGCGGTTTAACGGCTCGCGCGGCCGTTGGAGGGAGGGCGGCTCAACGGCCCCCGCTGCCCGCGCTGAGGGGACGCTCCGGCGAGGGTCTCATTCGCTCCTTTGGCCTTTGTAGCCTCAACTTCAAGGACCCCGAGGCGGTGCGGGCCCTGACGTGCACCCTGCTGAAGGAGGATTTTGGGCTGACGATCGACATCCCCTTGGAGAGGCTCATTCCCACCGTCCCCTTGCGCCTCAACTACATCCACTGGGTGGAAGATCTCATCGGTCATCAGGGGGCAGACAAGCAAGTGCTCAGGCGAGGAATCGACATAGGTACTTGGAAGAGGGTGTTAACAGAGCTCTTCATTATTTGGTGTCCCTGAAAGTAGCTAAGGAAGCTTCTTGTGCAAATCGTACGTGTAGTATAAAGTCATGGTGAGATGGCAAAGCTGGCAACCTGCTGGAAGTTCAGAGGGTCTTTCTTGGGATTTTTTTTTTTTTTTTCCTTTTGGGCAAGCCTAAGAATATAGCACAAGTTTAGTCTTTTTTAACAGAGGAGCGAATTTAGAAGGTGTGCTCTGATTTGTATCGCTTGATCTTTGTTAGAAATCCAGCAAGGAGATCCTTGCAGAAGAAGGAGGTAACTGTTCCACAGAGTGATAGTAAAATAGCATTGGGGCTCTGTGCTTTTTTGGTTCTGTGTCAGTTATGCAAAAGGTACCTGGCAAGGCATATTTGAATTTAACACACATTTGAAATTTTTGCCAAGAACGTTTCCCCTTACAGCTCAGAGATTGCTTTGTGCTAAAGTAAATTTTTGATGAAACTAAGGGATGTTGGAGTGGTTTTTTTTTAGTAACTTCTTGAGTTTTACTTGAAGTGTCACTTGTCTCTAGTTACTGACTTCCTCAAAGCTTCGGTTCAGTAAGCTTGGTTACTTTTTTTGTTTAACTGTTAATACAGCTTTTCAGTTTCTGCAATTTACTGACTAACATTTTTAGCTTGAACTTCACCAGAGGTGACACACATATCAGCCGCGACTGGGGACACATCTGCTTTCCTTTGATAGCCCTGCAACTTGTTAGAGAGCTTTTACAGTTCTGCTCTTAGAAAGCTTCTTCGAAAACAATTTCTATGAATTTGATCACCATGGGTGGTTAAGTACAGGAAACAGATCCTGTAAGTCCCCCAACTGTTGGGGGATCTGAAGTTGGAGTTGGCTGTGAGGTTTGAAAATCCAAACTCTGGGAAATCACTAAGTCATCCAAGAGCAACATAATAGCAGTGCACGAGTTAAGTATGCAAAAGCATACAGAGTTACAACCTTTTTTTTTTTATCTTGTATTTTAATAAGTACAGTAAGGCTGGTCTGCCATAATGCAGAAGAAAGTACATGATTTTTATGAAGGATCTTGATAAGTCTCTTAGCTTACCATTAGATAATTAGAGTTATTTTTTCCTTTTCCTTGTATCTGTATTCATGAATTCCAAGTCTGATTGGTAGTTGTAATTGGATCACCTAGAGGTGATGTAACTGTAAAATGGTGTCACTTTATGCAAGTATATGTTTCTTCTTGTGACTAAGTTTGCATCTGTCAGACTCTCTCTTTAAATGGCCTAGTTGGCACCCCTGATTCTTCACTGTTCCATGAATTAGAGAACAAAGTTTGATGTTACAGATATTTTCTTTTTTTTTTAATGATAGTTGTATGTATCTAAGTAAAATTGTCTGCAGTACAAAAATACAGTTAATGTATTGTTCAATAGTCAGCTTTTTTGTTTAGAAAAATCAGAGTATATTTTGCCTTCACTATATAAATTAATCACTGTTGTACAGAAGAGGCAACTTAACAAAGAATCGATCATTTACTAGATAGAGCATTTTCATCCTGCCTGGAAATAATTTATACTTAAAAAAAAAAAAAAAGTATAATTGGTTTGTAATTGGTGTTTTCTTGCTTTTTGTAAACAGTACATAATTAATGCCACTATTCTGTATAACAGCAGGGACTCTTTTTTCCTTTTTCTATGACTTTTGTTTGTTTGTTTATTTTCCTGCAGGGACAGGGGCATCTTGCATATACCCATTACTTGGAGCAACTTTGAATGGCTGGTACTTCCTTGCAACAGAAGTAGATGATATGTGTTTCAACTATGCCAAGAAGAATGTGGAACAGAATAATTTGTCGGATCTTATAAAAGGTTTGATGTCATATTTAGTAGCCTGGGGATGCTGTGACACTTTTGCCTTGTGCAGTGGCAAGTCAGAATTGGTGTTCCTGCCACAGACATGCTGCTTTGATTTTACTGAAGCAGCATGTTCAGTAAGGCCCACACATGCTTAAGCCAGCTTAAGCCAGAAAGACAGCTTGTCTGGGGTGGAATGTGTGATTAAAGAATCATCCGTATAAGAATATGAAAATTCAGCTTTATCTTGAACATTTTTTTTCCACCTCATACTCTCTGTCTGTTGCTGATGTGGTTCTTGGAGTTCGTGCTCTTTCTGCTACCAAGAGGTATGAATTGCTACTCCTGGATGATTTACGTGATACGACCATGTACCTGTTGAAATATTTAGTCTTTGTTTCTGTATTAAGTCTTAAGAATGCTTTTGATAGAGCAAGTCTGGCATTTAGCAACTATCTTGGAAAATTTCTTAGGAGCTACTGATGTGTATAAAGCATGTGCGTTCACTCAGCCCTGAAATACAGACTTCAGTTCTTCTGGGTTTTGGCAATATCCCTTCAACTAAAATGTCTTCTCTTGGTCTGTCCTCTGCATCAGTCTTCAAGATCGAAAGCTTGATGTGGGGAACAGTGACAGTGTTGCAGACTGTGTCTGTTACCCGTTACTGCTGCCATCACCTATTTCTTACTGGTGTGGGGACTGACTTTACTGGGAAGACCTGTGGCAAATGAAAATGTCTCTGGTGAAGCTGCAATGCCTAAGATGATGAGCTGAAGTTGAGCAGTTGCAATTGGGCAGAGTCACGGGCAAGGACCTACCACAGATGGTCCCTGCAGCCGTGGAAGACATGGATGTGGAAATGACATAGCTGTAACTTTTGGTGCTTCAGCTTTAAAGTTTGTGGGTATTCTAGTTATCATTCTTGTTGGATAATATAACCTGAACACACTGGGCATTGCTTGCTACACTAAAATCCTTGTGTTTTAGCATCATAATAAACTGTAGTAATAAACGGTGGGGGAGAAGGAGTGTGAATAATCTTCTGTTTCCTTCTAAATATATTGGTCCTTGGTGCTTATCTGTACGTTGCAGCACTGATTAAGTCTACAAGAAGTCCTGCTTGGTTTAGTCTCTTTAGATCTTTGAACTAACTGCGTTTTCCATAAGTATGGAATGTACCTTCTTTCCTATTTAATTTCCCATTTCTTGGACTAGGGTCTCCATGGTTTGTAGAAATATGTTTGACAACTCTAAGAACAAATTCTGGTTTCCAAGGAAATTAAATAGCCCTTTGGGAAAGATGATGGAAAACTATAGAACATTAGCCATTAATTCTTGAGGCTGGTACCTAATTAATAATTTTTGAGCCCTAGTAAGCAGAACGTTTGTGGGGAAAGGAACTCTTGTCTTTCCTCTTTCCATGTGTTTCTTGTAAACTGTATAAAGCCTTCCTCAGTCTTAGTTTTGCACTCTGAAGTCCAAAGACCACAATTTTGTGATATGATACCTCCAGAATTCTCTATCTAAAGAGTATTTATATTTAGAGAGATGATTTTTATCTCTTGACTAGCCTGTGTGATAATTAATTGATGGTTGTATTGCTTTTCTTATTTTGTACTTGCTTCATGATAGCTGGAGCAGTTAGTATTGTTTTAAACTGACTCTTTTAATTTTGCTACTCTGTGTGTATATATAAAATATATAGTGTGAGTATATGCATATACATATATGTGTATATACACATACACAAAAAACTATTCGTAGGTTAATTCTTAATCTAAAGTAATGGTTTGCAATATATTTATGTTGATATTTATTATAGTTTATTTAAAATATATTGGTTAGAAAATAGAATTTTTGTAGAATATGTTGTCTTAAAACACTGAAATAACTCTTGCACGATTGCTAAATTATAAAGCTCCTTACTGACTAAACTTCTGTATTTTCTGCTAGTGGTTAAGGTACCACAGAAGACTCTTCTGATGGATGCACTGAAGGAAGAATCAGAGATTGTTTATGACTTTTGTATGTGCAACCCTCCCTTTTTTGCCAACCAGTTGGAAGCAAAGGTAACCTGACGAACTGAATGCCATGTGCACTTATTCCGGTGTTTAGTGAGTAGGAATGCATCAGTAGCTTAGCCTTTTCACTGGTGAAAAGTTCAGTGGAAAATCCCAAATCATTATGAAATAACATTGAAGTTTGTTTCCCATACATTCTTGAAAAATTGTTTTCCTTTTCGAAGTGGAGGGTTACCTGTAGATTTTCTTTTTAATTTTATTTTCACTTTTCAAAAGTTCTTTCTGTCTTAGAGAGTTGATTTGGAAAGTAGGTGGCTATTCACAATCTCAAATCAAATGTCAATTGATTTTGGTGAGAGGAATGAGTTTCTGGAGCCATGCCTCTACGATGTTTTGTTTCCTTAGCGATTTAGGCAGTAGCATGCAGGTCCAAACTGTTCTGTAGTACCTAGTAAATGCAGTCAAATACTTAATTCTTTTATACTGCCTCATGTTGATGAGCTTATTTATCAGTATGCCTTAAATGTAGTGGAACCACATATTGCATGCTAGCATGACATTGATGTGTGTCTTGTGTTTGAGGTTGTAGGAAATTTGTTCGGATATTCATTTGTATGACTAACTCAGGGAGACTTAGACATGGATCATATTTGTTACCACAAGGGGAAAAGTTTGTCTCGCAGAATGCCTGCCTTTCATTCAAGTATGAAGTTGGGCACAACGAAGTGGATAGCAGTGTCACTCTTACACCTATTTTAAGGCATATTTGTCCATTGTCTGGGTTTGTGATGGGTGGAAGAAACTTGGAGATTTTGACATTTGCTACACCCTGAGGATTAAGGCAGGAAGTAGTGTGTAAAGAAGCTCAACATTTAATGAAATGTTTGTCTTGAACACTCTTTCATGTCCAGGGAGTAAATTCTCGGAATCCACGTCGCCCTCCTCCCAGCTCTGTAAACACAGGAGGAATCACAGAAATCATGGCTGAGGGGGGAGAACTAGAATTTGTCAAAAGAATTATCCATGATAGTCTACAGCTTAAAAAGAGATTACGGTAAGTGATTTGTTAGACTTAAATGAACTTTTTTCTGCTGTTTTGCCTGCAATCATATGACAATAATATTTTTAGTGATGAACATAGCTGTGGTCCAGCAATACCCATTCACTTTGTGTAATGTTACACATTTATTCTCAGTTTATGGAAAAATCATCATTCTTGAGTATCAAGCAAACTGCAGCCCATTTTCATTTACAGGTATTTAAAGGCAAAGGTCTTAGAGCCAGTGCGCTTGACCCCTGTAGTTCACAGCTAAACTAACAAGTGTTTGTTGAAGACTGGTGATTTTTAAGTGGTTACTCTGTTATCGGTCCCATTTGGTGTGTGTAGATTCAGGAGAAATGTGCTATTCATAAATTGCTGTTTGAAGACCTTGGAAGGAACCCAAGTGGCAAGCGTAATGGTGAGCAGCCTGATACTCTTTCAGGCAAGAAGTCTGTCTTGAAAAGGTGATGTGAAATTGAGGAAATTGTGCTCCTGTACTGCTTCTCCTGGCAGCACCGGTCTGCAGGGAAGGCAAAGGATGTCTCTTGATTTGAAGAACAGATAGCACAAAGTATAGAATATGCCTGAGTACTAAATGTGTCATATTTAGGAAAAATTAAGCTCTCTGCATAGGCAGGAGTGATTTGGTTTATGTTTTTGAGTAAAGTGATTTGGAGACTCTATTACAGGAAGAATAGTTTAATATAGTGTGTTGATTTCCTGTTTAGTTAGTGATGAGGTCCGACAACTCTACTAAGGGACTAAAGCGATGAACTAGGATAGTAGGTTGAAACTTCCTTTGGCCAGCAAGCATTGGTCATGCATGTTTCCTTCCCTTCCCCTTTTCCTTTCAGCCAGGAGTTATAGTAATTTGGGGAAAGGTGTATGTTTTCTCAGAAATTTGGGGATTTAATGTAAGTATTGCTGCATAGTTATGCAAACTCTGTATATTGTATTATGCAGGAAGTCGTATTAAATGATTGTTCCTTGATATCCAGTGATCTTTTTAGTTTACTCTAGGCTGTGATAAATGTGATCAGTTTAACTTGTGTGTCTTCAGTGAAGGTTCATGGTAAGTGTTGAGGTAACTGCCTACAATATGGGGACTCTTAATTTTAATTCTTGAATACATTTTACTTACAGATAACTCTTTTGAAGATTTCTAATCCAAGTAGTTCTTTCTGGAAGTTGCTGTTTTCAAATGATCTGTGTTTGTAAGATGTTTTGTTAATATATTGCCTGCAGGTGGTACAGTTGCATGCTGGGGAAGAAATGCAGTTTAGCACCATTGAAAGAGGAGCTTCGGATCCAGGGGGTAAGTTTATATGTGCTTCTGCATAGCCTTTATTCTCTTAATGCAGTATATCCTTTAATCCAGAACACATGTGCTATCTGCGTTATTATTTACAAGAAGAAACGATTCCTTGCTAGGCAAGACCTCTAAGCAGCTGATTTAATTATTGACAGTCCAAAGCTGATGTATGAGCAATGCCATATCATCTCTAGATGTTTTTCTCATTGCGATACTCAGAATCATGTCTTTATCCTTTTTTAGAAAATACGGCGACTTCTGTTTTGAAATAGCCTAGTGAGTCCTTTGTAAATATTTTCTAGCTTGCTTTCCTCCTAGCTAACGTGAAAGCTAACCAGTTGGTTGATTAAAAAATGAAATTTCTTTTTAAAAGATGAGCTATTATTCTTCTAATTAACTAGCAGTAGAAACTGATAATGTTTGGGGGGGGGGGGGGGGGGGGGGAAGGCTAGGACACCAGAGAGGTTGAACTTCACTTAAGGAAATAGATCTCCTATGTTTTGTCTCTTGTGTGTTGTAGAACTTGTTATTAGGGCCTTTAACTTCTTCCCGGCTTGCTGTCTGAGCCCATGCTGTCTCCTCCTCATTCTTCATTTACTGCCTCGCTCTGACCTAGATTTTGCAGCTCAGCTTTTTCTCATTTGAACTGCCTTTTGAATGTTGAGACACATCTGTCAACAAATATACATAGTATACATAGTGGAAGGGAGGAGAATGGATGGTGAAATTAATTCTCTGAAATCTGAACTGCAGCCCATAGGAAAAATCTCTAAACTTGATGACAAGAACAGATGCTGAGCTGGACACAAAATTTGAAGTACCTGACTTTTTCAGGGTTCTTGCACTCTTATGCCCGCCTTATGACAAACTGTTGTGGACATTTTGGAGAAAAAAAATGAACATTTCTGTTTTGTTCTTGTTGAAGTCAGCAAGCAATTTCATTTTGTTCTGGTTCAGAAGCTCTTGTATTAGAGTTGGGGTTATGTTCATTGTTACCAAGGGTCTGCTATGCTATGATGGAGGTAGGTAATCAGTGCAAGTGTTCTAAAATCCACTCTTGGTTCAAGTTGTCTAGACATTTTCTCTATTTATTGGGAAAGTAGAACTAGGAACCCAAAGGTGGCGTAGAAACATTTTTTTCTTTCAATTTTGAAGATATTTCTTGAAAGTATCATATTTTTTGTCTTATTTTCTGAGCAAACCTGGGGTTTAAGCTGTGGGGCTGATGATACTGTGGAATTAACTAGAATGCTTGAAATTTGTAGGCTGATAGATACATATTTATTATATATCACTATTTCTGTACAGAAATGCTTCAGTGCATGCATGTGTGAAAACAGCAGATAATACTAACTTTAGATCTGAATTATTTAAGGGCATCCAAAGTATTTAAAAGCAGTGTAGGCTCAGACTTGAATTTTGGCAAAGATGCAGAAATGTTTGAGAGCATGTTACTGCAAGCTGCTTATATCAGTTATCTTTATTTAGGGAGACATAATTGAAATGTATGAGGCAGTTAACAGTAAGTTGCACATTTTCTCTGCTTGGAGAAAAACCTAAGGATTGGGGAGCTATTGAGAGAAAGTGAGATTGTGTTGGGGAAATGGTGAAAGGAGAGAATGGAGGGGATATATAGTGATGTCTGAGAGTTGAGTAGCATCAGAAATGATCGAAGGTTATTTTCCATCATTTGTGATAGTGAACTCTGTCAACTCCACATTTTTTCCTCTGCAAATGTGTCAGAACTGGAAGTAGGTGTTTCAGAGAGACCTTCTTTGCATGTGTTCCTCGGGTGGCATTACGGAGCTGATTTAGAGATGATGGCCTGACTAAAGATGCGTGGAAGGCTGACACTATGAAAGCCAGTTTGGTCTGGAAAGCATGACACTTGCAGGGGCAGAAAGGTGGCAAGAGGAAGCCTCTTAACACCGTTTTATGGAAATACAGGTTGAGGGAACAGCAAAGAAGGGTGAGATAAACTGGAAATGTTGCATGGAGCAAGGGAGGAAATACACCAAGAGAAGAGTTTTGGAGTGGAAGTGTACTTCGTTACTCCTGTGGGTGACTATGTGCCTTACGTTTAAAAGGCTTGGGAGGAGAAGGTGGGCTGAATCTGTTTTCCAGCTGTTACAGGCTTTTGGGGTGATATTAGCCAAGTTCCTTTTACTTTCACTTTCTAATCTGTAAAATGGAGGTAGCTAAAAAGCATGAAATCTCTTCATGAAATCGCTGATACCTTGTTTGGCAATGCCACCTAGCCTCTTAGGTGTGTTGATTATAGCTGTTCAGAGGAACACTGACACCTATTATGAAAATAAGTATCTTCTTTAGCAGAAGAAAAATAAAATGCTCCATTAAAATATCTCATACCTTTCCCTAAAGCAGAGGTTTGGAAAATACCGTAATGCAGAGAAGTATTGAAGTACTCTAGATTTTCTCCAAAACTGGTGATTGGCTGCTTGACATTTGGGTTTATCTGCATATTCTTCATCGACCTGCACTGTTAAGTTCCACCGAGATTAAGGATAAGAATGGCTGACTAGAATAGTTTGACTTAGCTGGGGCTGTGGCAGGATATTCCATAATGCTTGAAGACCTCCAGGGAATTTATTTGTGCTATTGTGAGAGTGACTCAAAACACTCTTTGCTTTTAAGTGCTTTCGAGGTGTCTTTTTTTATCCCTGGTTTTGTTAATGAAGGTTATTAGCGGTGTATAAAAGTTTGTTAGGGGGACTAAGTGATGAGCCCAAACCTTTGGTGACGGGTGAGTGGTGTGGTTTCCAGGTGGTCTTTGTTCTGTTTCTATGCTAAAGCAGTGGGCTTAGCATTGAAATGTGGAACAGGGCACATTATGTGAATAAGGAGGAAAGGAGGACTTTTTGCAACTTGGAATCTAGATGTGTTCAGTAGGTGGTGTTGGGTCACTGCCGGAAAAAGGCAAGCTAGAGCGTTGCTGAACATGGAGTTCCCAGAGGGCTTAGATGTGGTGGGGTGGAGATGAGCAATCCTGGTCTCCAGTACCAGGCCTGGCACTGACCAGCTTCAGCTGGCGCTCTCCCTTGTGCGCCACGCTAGGAAGAATTGCTGTTCCTGTCAGGAGGAAATATGGGAAGTAGAACGTTATTTATTAATACAAAACAAAACTGTTTTGCTGCTTTATGTAGGTGCCTAAAGTTACCCATACTGAATTCTGTCAAGGGCGTACCATGAGGTGGGCCCTGGCGTGGAGTTTCCATGAAGATGTACAAGTGCCTGTGAGTAGCTTCATTTCAGTTTGCTTCTGATTGTCTATGCCTCATATTTGAGGAAGTGTCTAATGGCTGTAATAAAAACTGCTATGAAACGGGCTGTTCTCATTCAGTATGGAATGTTGGATGGGCTGGGCTGCCTGGAATTTCTTCCTTGGATCTAATTCCATTAGCAGTTGTTGCTTGTGAATCATGTGTGATCTGTGATTAAGAATGAAAAAACAAGCCTGCAGAGACCTCTTACGAGTTGCAGGATAATTTCTCGTGTACCTCTACCAACTAACATATTTTTTATATACGAGTAAATCCCTAATTTTTAGACCAGTTTTAAAGTTTAAGCTACTCTCTGAGAGTTTGGTTTTAATTTATGATATAAATTATTTTACTAAATAGATGTGAACATGTGTTCCTCCTTTGCGTTTACCTACATGGTGGAGCTTGTTCATTTTGATTTAGGTTAGCCAGTTGCTTTTTTTGGATCCAGATATACATGCATTGTAATCCAGGTGCACATTGTAATATAGATATGTGCAATAACCAACTCTGTAGAAGATGCAAGTTAAACTTCAGTGAAGTTGGGTCAGAATTTGGATTTTAGAACTTGATTTCCAAGTCCCAAAGGCACTTTCTTAATTTAAAGAGCACTACTAGTTTGAAGGTACTGAACGAGCTTCTGCCTAATTCCTGAAGCTGAAGTCCTCCTCTGTCATCAGGATAGTGCAAAATGCATGCTCTTGTGTGCTCCTCCTTAACGTAACTCTTCAGGGTGAAGTGAAACATAGATTGTGTCAGGAGATATTTACTGGCTTTTTTTTTATACGCTTAATCTATATGTATTCTGAGTATAAAGGTACATGCAGTAACAGTAATATTGTGAAGTAATATAGCATAGCATTTTAACTTTTTGGTGATACTCTATTTTTGTTGCTTCTTCTAGTCACCTCCTTCTAAAAGGCGAAAACTAGAAAAACCCCGAAAACCAATTACTTTCATGGTCCTGGCTTCTACAGTCCAAGAGTTGTCCGCCAAAGCCACGGCTATTGGCTGGGATGCTGGAGAAGCCATTACTGTGGTTAGAGCCTGGGTGGAGAAGATTCTCGATGATCTGAAGGTACGGTATTAAGTATTATATGTTACTGTACTCCCACATAAACCATGCAGTGAATGGAAAGTATGAAATTCTGCTCTTTTCTGCAATAGGTTCAACATAAGCGTTTTCCTTGTGGAAAACATGAAGTTAGCCTGTTTCTGACTGCAATCGAAAACTCCTGGATTCATCTGAGGCGAAAGAGACGAGAGAGAATAAGGCAGTTACGAGAACTTCCACGAGCTTCTGAAGATGTTCTGCAAGCAATGGAAGAGGAGAAGAACAACCAGAAAAACACGAGCAGCAACCTGGACTGTGAAAACCCCAAGACTGAGGACTCTGAAATGGGATTCGCGGGGCCTGATGAGGAGGTCCATTTGACCACAGGTGAAGAGCTAATGGAAGAATCCACTGCCAAAGAAGAGCCCAGCGAGCATGCAGAGCAGGAGGAGGACACAGAGGCAAATCAGGCAGAAGGGTCACTTACTGAAGGTTCCGGTAATGTGAAGGAGGAACCTGACCCTTCAGAGGAAGCTAGCAATCCCACAACTGAAAAAGGACAAAGTCCCAAAGAAACTAGTAGATGCTTCCTCTTTAAGTGTTTGATGAATGTGAAGAAAGAAGGAGATGATGTATTAGTAGAAATGCACTGGGTTGAAGGGCAGAACAGAGACTTGATGAACCAACTGTGCACGTACTTACGGAACCAGATTCTTCGACTGGTTGCTAGTTAGCTTCTTTTCCTATTACAGTAAAATAGAGCAGGCCCAAAGTTTTCTAAGGTATTTTTAATTGACTAGAACTTTCAACTGGCACAAACTGTTCTTTTTTTTCCTTTTAAAAAGCTATAGTAAAATGGAGTTTAAAGCTCTCTCTTAAATAGCTTTTTTTTTAAAAAAAAAAAAAGCTTCATGGAGTACATTGGGCATGAACTGATGGGAAGGTAATAGATGCTGTGCCCGGTTATAGAACTACATGTTACAGTGAAATACGTTTATTCTGTGACTGTTTTAAATAGGAACAGTTCATTTAGGCCCTTCCGGTACAATAGAAATATATATTGTTCCTAAATAGAAATCTTTCCCAAAACATTTTCTTCAGTACTAAAGTGGAAAATGACTAGTCTGCCTTGTGAATTCTCTCCTGCATCTAGGAGTCCTTAATTTTGGACTTAAAAATGCCTCGCTTCTCTTTAATGCATTTAACTGTTGGCCTACAAAGTGAAAACCTCTTGTGTGTCAATTCATTAAAACATCTACTTTAGAAATACCATGTGTTGTACTTTCCTGGTGCTTTGTTTTGGCTCTGAAACACAGAAGTGCCTGCTGCTATTGAACGTCCATTTTCATAAATGTAGTTTTAATAATGAAATATATTCTTTGAGCTGTTTGGGTTAAAGAATTTAACAGTATTGACTATTCCATTAGGCTGCTCCTTAAACCTGTGCAAATATATTGCTATAGTTCCCGACAATTGCTCTTCATGCGTTTTGCTTCCCTTTTTAATCTTAAGTTTGAATTTAATGTTAATGTTTGAAGGAAGATAACTGGAAAGGCAGCCGTTCTTCCACACGGGCTCTCTGGTCCTCTCTACCACCAGTTATATTCTTGGGGGTTCCTGGGCCAATGACTTCTTTCCTGTGGGAAGACAGGTGGAGGGTCAAGAAACTGAGGGCATTTGTGTACGTCTGAGAATGAGCTGTGGTACAACATCATAGAGCCCTTCTGCCAAGCTCCCTTTCTCGAGACATACAGAACATGAAGAGAAAGTATTTCTAGCTAATGCCTTTTGGTTTCTTTCAGTTTCTTTTAATCTCTGTGTAGAGTTCTGTCATCATTCATCACAAGGAACTGTTGCGAATAATTTTTTGCATAACCCTGCTGTGGGAAGTAGGTACCCAAAATAAAACATACACTTATGATAGAGCACAAAGAGATGCGATTTGCTTCTGGAACCACTTTGAATATTCAGCCTTATTTATTAATGCTTCTGGAGAGGTTAGTGTTTTTCCCCCATGTTATAATGAAAAATGAGAGTTTTTTTTTTTTTTTTCCCTTGTAAGGTTACCACTTTTAATCATGCTTTTTAGCAGTTCTCTGTGAGATGATGGATGACGGCTTGCATGAGCTGGAACCGATGAGTTGGGCTTTGCTTCAGAGCACAGAATTTTGCAGGGCTGCTCCTGTCCTTGAAATACGGGGGGAGAAGTGAAGCTTAATGTTAGCTAGGACGTAATCCTACCCCTTCAGAATTTGAAGAGATACATAGTTTTTTTTTAAAAAAATGTATTTTAGCTGTTTTAAAACTATTAAAAATCGGAAACCAAGGCTGCCTGTGCTTTGTGCCCCCCTCTGGTTATCTCTTCAGCCCTTCTTTCTGTGAGAATGATGAAGAGCTGTACAAGGAAAGGTTGGGCAGTGATAATATGCATGTTTGGGTAAAGCTGACTCTTTAATTTGCTGTTACATCTTTTACTTCTGTGCTATGAGTAAGCTTGCACGCCTGAGTGGTGCTTAACCAAGGCCAGAGCTTATTCATGGTCGTTTAAAGAAAAGGAGGGTCTGGTGTCATTTCTATCCAGTTTTAAAAGGTAAATTGTTGCAGTGGCCTTTTTATTTCAAATAAAAGCTGTGTCAAAAATGCAGGTGACGTTAAGAGGGCTGTCGTGTCAAGGTGAAGGCAGTAATAAAAACCTTGCAATTAGTATAAAGCGAACGTGACAAAAGAAGGCGAAAATGGGTGTTTTAACGCTGGAAGTGAGGCGGGGAGGGGGGAAGGAGCGGGGCTCAAGCGCTTCGGGAACGTTCCCCTCCCGTGCCCCGGGGCGCTGCGGCCCGCGGCTCCCGCGGGCTCTCGTCCCTCCCGTTGCGCTGCTCCCGTTAGGGGGCAGAGCGGCGCGAGCGCGGCCGTTGGCGGCCGGGGCGCCGTTTGAAAGGCGCGGCGGGAAGATGGCGGCGGCGCCTCCGCCGGGGCGCTGGGGCCGCGGGGCCGCGGGCGGAGGGGCCAAGCGGCCGCTCGGCCCCGCGGCCCCGCACCGGGCTGTGCTGAGCCCCCCGCCCGGCCTGGACCTCTCCTTGCGCGGCACCGGTTCGCCAGGTACTGGCGGCCACAGAGAGCGGGTCCGGCTCCCGCGCTTCTTCTCCCTCCCCCTCAACGGTGCTCAACGGCCGCGCGGCGGGACGGGGCCTGGGGCGCGGGGGGAAGGCTCCGGGCGGGGTGGGGAGGCAGGATAGGGGGAGCGGGGACGGGGCTGCCCTTGGGCGAAGGCAGCCCGCCTCCCCCGGCCCTCCCTGCTAAAATGCCCCGCGGGGCCGTTAGCGAGCCCTCGAGCGAGGCCGCTGCTCGTGCTGAAGCGGCGGGCGCCTGCGGGCGCCTACCAGGGCCTTTCCCGTGCCGCTTGCCCCTCGAAATCCCTCGCTGAGGAAGGGAAGAGCGTTGCCTCGCGAGTGCCTGCGTTTCTGGGAGGCGGGCTCGCGCCTCGCGCGCCGACAGCGGGCCCCATTCCTGGCTTAGCCTCTAGGGGCTGCCATACTCCAGCAGTGAGCGCGGCCCCGGCTCCTCGGTGTGTGAGGCCAGGGACGCCCGCGGCTCGGTGGAGATTCCGCTGGGCAGGAATCTAAGGGCATCGCTTCAGGTGCGCCCGGCTAGGACCCCCGATGCCTGCAAGCGCAGGGGGGCCTGGCAGTTTTGTGTACACCGTCTCGTTTATGTAACAAGACTCTTGTGAGATGCTTATATAACTTATTTATGTGGCTCTGAAGGAAAGCATTTATGTCCCTCAGCGTCTTCCACACGCATGCAGCATCCTCTCCTTGATGTGAATCTGTTCTGCGAGATACAGCTTTGTCTGCTCCTGCAGAGGGGCTGAGCAGGGCCAGGTTAAGTATTTGCTCAAGGAGCCTCTTAGGAGAGGATCCAGTAGGTGCTGCAGTTGACTCCAGATACCTGAAGGATTTTAAGTAAAGCTAATTCCCAGTGCTTTTGACCAAAAATACACATCTTCCTCATTTCTGATGCTTTCTTAACGTTTTTCAATTTAACTTGAAAGACCTTCCAAGTGCAGTCGTACCCTTTCGTACGTAGATTTTAACAATCTCCTAATGCACAACCTTTCCAACTTGTGTTTGGTGCAGCATCTACAGCTATTCAGCAAAGAGCAGAATCCTGCAGCCCTAAATTTACGCTTTTACATGTAGTTTATTGCTTTTCACTTTAGGAAAGAATTTTGAGATCCTGTTGAGTCATCTTTTTGGTAATATTATGAATGGCAATGCTACCATTTTAGTCACATTTTAGATAGAACTGTCAAATGTGGCCACCTCCGTATGTCCCTTGGAAGTATGTTCTGCTTTATGGACCCTGCTATTCATTTGTGTTGGGACTGAACTTTCTATTTAGTGACTGTATAGTACTTCAGTTATGCAGACTGTATACAGTCTGCTGTAACAATGACTGGAAACTTCTTTAAGTGGTTTTTGAACGTGTCAGCAGAAGAATGGGTAAAGAGGGTCAGTTCATACAATTACTTGTCTTTCAAATGTGTTGGCAAGGTCTTTCACAAAATGCTCTTCCAGAACATAGTAGTTGTTCATGAGTGGGGAGGCATTGCTATGGATCAGAAACTGTTTTACATCTCAAATGAGGAAATGGAAAAAAAAAGTTTCACTTATGATTTGGAAAAAGGGAGAAAGAGAGGTATTATCTGTAGTTGACACAAAGTTGTTTAGGGTTATAAAGAAAATAGATAAGCAGCAAGGAACATAAAGGAACTGGCAGCCTGGTGAAGATATTAATCAGTTTGATAAACAGAAATAATATACATTTTGCTTGAACTGCCTATTTATCTTGTTTTCTTAAATTAAGGTAAACCATGAAAAAGACTGAGCATTTATTTAACCTGTGAAGGTTACTGAAGGCTTTGTAGCAGTAATCTAAAAAGGAAATGATAGTCTATAAGAGTGAAATGGAAAATACTTTGTAATGTTCTTACATTAATCAGTGCTGAAGCTCAGCTTGAGTCTGCATTTGGTAATGGCTGCTCAGGCTCAAAGGCAAATATCAGAGACTCTTGAGAAATGATTTGAATGTGGCAGATCTTACAGGAGATGAAATTGAAAGGTGATGTCCAGAGATAAGAGGAATGAGACAACATATGTAGGAAATACTGAAAAATACAGAGAAGACAGAGCTGAACTTCCTTGTCACCTTTTGTTTTAATACAAGGACTTCCAGAGAAGTTTGAAATTTAAGTTTATGACTGAAGTGACCTCAGATTCAACAGCATTTGTATCTAATGGAGCTGTGTTTTGTTTTATTTTGTTTGTTTTGTTTTGTTTTTCTCAAAAGGGCAATCTCAGAAGGTAAATGTTCCTGAAGACCAAGCAGATAAGCTGCTTCTTGCAAGCTGGGGTCTTCCCAAAGCTGTTCTGGAGAAATATCACAGTCTGGGAGTTGTACAGATGTTCGAATGGCAAGCAGAGTGTCTAATGCTTGGACAAGTTCTGGAAGGGAAGAACCTAGTTTACTCAGGTATGCAGACGTTTGACAGTGCTTCTTACTTTGCCAGGACCATTCACAAGAACATACTGCTGCTCAGTGGTCCATATCTAGCAGATACAAAGGTCAACATACTCTTTGTTTTGGAGAATCACAGAATGGTTAAGGTTGTGTGCAGAAAATCTCGCTGTCAAGAACTGAATGTCCAAAAAGGAGACGGAGGAGACCTACAACTTTATTTGAATAAAGGGAGAGTCCAGCAGCCATATCCCTGTGGGGTCTCTAAAGTTGCTGGAGGTCACAGCCCCCTTTTTATCCTGATTTCCCAGCCGCGGTGGCCCTCTCCTTTTCCCCACTGACCAAGGTACTCTGGAGTTACAGCCTTCCCAGCTGCCTACACCCAACTCGCTGCCTCCCTCCATGTGTTCTCACCTGAGGTCACCTGGCTGCTTTGTGCCCCTCTCTCCTGGCTCCGCTTACAGATATTCCTTTGTTCCTTTGTACTGCTCATCAGCCAAAGAAGGGGGAGCGATTTTCTTCCTCCTTTGTGAAAATACAAACTTACAAACTTGTGTGTGTGTTCTGCTCAATCCCAAACTTCTGTGTGTGTTTTCTGCTCTATCTCCCTCTCCCCCCCCTTTTTTTTTTTGGTGAAGATATTTTATGTTTACAAACATCTACACTCATCACCTATGGAAGTATAGGGGACTCTGCATAAGTTATTAACTAACCACCTGGGTTTGACAGGACTAGCTACCCCTCCTGGATTCCCACAGAGCTAACACTTATTTTCCTGACCCGCTCCCAACCAGCGGTACAGATCTACAGCCAGATAGCCAGGACTTTCCATCCTCTTCCTTTGACTGAGAAGTTCAGATTTCTGAAGTTTTGGAAATCTTAACTCTGGTGATGAGTCCAACCATGCTCAGCCGTCTTGATTGATGTTTCTGTGGTTAGTAATACCGGATAAGGTCCACGGCACTTTGCTAGCAGTGCTGCTTCTTTCCATTCTTTGACCAGGACCCAAATCCCCTGGTTGGATGTTATGGACTGCAGAATCCAAGGAGAGGGTCTGTATGAGCTGGACTTTCTGTCAGTGAGACTTCACAAGAGAAAGTATTCTGACCACATATTGCTTTAAATATATGTTACTTATTTCCATCTCCCTACCAGGTTGGGTGTTAGCAGGGTAGGGAATCAGAAACATTATTTCAAAAGGGGACAGTTGAGTGTCTCCCCTAGGTTTTGTTCTTATTCTTGCCAAAGCCAATGGTAGAAGTTGTGTCCATAGCATCTTAGTGTCTAATATCAATTTCAAAAGATGCCTTTTAATATTCCCATTCATCCTTTCCGCTTTACCAGATCTCTGGGGAGGCCAAGGGGTATGCAAGTCCCATCGAATCCCCAGGGCAGTCATGACACCTTGAAGGACTTATCCTGTAAAATGAGTACCTCTGTCCAAATCTGTCACCTCTACTCAGTCATATCTTGGAATTATTTGTTCTAAGAACACCTAAACTACAGACTCAGCTGTTACTGAGGCAGTTGACAGTCAGAAATGCCTCGGGCCATTCTGTTAGCTGGTGTACTATTACCAGAAGATGCTTGGCCACCCTATACGGAGCATCTCAGTAAAGTCTACCTGGCATTGTTGGAATGGGCACACAGCCCAGGGTCGTCCTCACCTCCTAACTTGTGGCTCGGCCATTGGCCTTATCACAAATCAGACAGCCCTCAATAACTCGTTTCGCCAGAACAAAAAGACCAAGGGCAGCACAGGTTTTGAGGAGGGCTTCTGACAGTCCTCTAGAACCCCAATGGCTTCATCTTTATGTATCAATGTCTTTCCTCAGCAAGTTAATAAACCTCTTCCTCCCACTATTTTCCAAACATATGTACCACTCCATATGCATATCTAAAATCTTTAAAGATACTCATCACCTTGCCTTAGTATAATGCACAGGCTCTTATTAGAGAATACATTTCTTCAGTTTGGGCTGACCAGGTAGACGGTAGCTTTCCTCCTTCTAGGAGCTCCATTCCTTTACTGACGGCATATCTTGTGGCTCTCTTCCCTTCTAATACTCTTGAAGATCCATGAATATTTAAATGCATTGCCCCATCTGGCCAAAGGGTACCTTTCAAATCCACCCTAGCCTGAGTCTGGAGATCTGTTACCTCCAATTCTTCTCCCTTGGAGCCAGTCAGGCAAGAATCGTAGAATGCTTAAGGTTGGAAGGGACCTCAGAGGTCATCTAGTCCAACCCCCCTGCTCACGCAGGGTCACCTACAGCATGGGGCACAGGGCTGCGTCCAAGCGGGTTTTAAAGATCTCCAAAGAAGGAGACTCCACAACCTCTCTGGGCAGCCTGTGCCAGGGCTCTGACACCTTCATTGTCAAGAACTGTTTCCTTAAGTTCCTGGGGAACTTTTGGTGCCTCAGCTTGTGGTCATTTTCTCTAGTCCTATCGCTGGCCACCACTGAAAAGAGGCTGCCCCCCTCCTCCTCACTGCCTCCCTTGAGGTATTTATACACGCTGATCAGGTCCCCCCTCAGCCTCCTCTTCTCCAGGCTGAACAGGCCCAGCTCCCTCAGTCTTTGCTCACAGGGCAGATGTTCCAGGCCCCTGATCATCCTCGTAGCCCTGCGCTGGACTCTCTCCAGCAGCTCCACATCCCTCTTGTCCTGGGGAGCCCAGAACTGGACACAGTCCCCAGATGTGGCCTTACCGGGGCTGTGTAGAGGGGGACGATCCCCTGTCTCGACCTGCTGGAGACGCTCTTCTTACTGCACCCCAGGATCCCGTTGGCCTTCTTGGCCACCAGGGCACACTGCTGCCTCATGGGCAGCTTGTCATCCACTATGACACCCAGGTCCCTCTCTGCGGGGCTGCTCTCCAGCAGGTCCACCCCTAATCTGTACTGGTGTCCAGGGTTATTCCTCCCCAAGTGCAGGACCCTGCACTTGCCCTTGTTGAACTTCATGAGATTTTTAACCACCCAGTTGTCCAGTCTGTCCAGGTCCCTCTGGATGGCGGCAGAGCCCTCAAGAAGCTGGGTTAAACCCTCCCCCCTGCTTAAATTTAAATCTTCTCGTCCATTTAGAAGCCCTTTCAGTTAGTAATGCCTTGCCCTGGTGTGTGATCTTGACAACAAGGGATCTTCATGTGGTCAGTTTTGGCCTCAGTTACCATTAGGACCATGGCTGCACAATTCCGCAGACAATAAGGCCACTCCTTAGCCACTGGGTCTATCATTCAAGAAAAATAAGCTCCTGGTCTTTGCATGCCTCTGTGCTCTTACACTAAAATTCCCTTGGCATGATCCTGCTTGACATCCATGTATAATACAAATTCTTTCTCTGGGTCCAGAAGAGCTAAAGCTGGAGCCTTGGTTGATTATCTTATAATTTTCTAAAGCTCTGCGCCTCTTCTGTCCATACCACAACACTGGGGGTGCTCTGGGCCAAAAATTCACACAGTGGTCCAGCCAAAGCAGAAGAGTCCTCAACTCAGGCTCTGCAACATCCTGCTAGTCCTAGGAACCGTCATCTCTCCTAGACCTGGGCAATGGCACTTCCAAAATTCCCTGAATTCTTTCTGGGTCAAGGCATCGCAAACCTCTGGTCAAAACATGCCCCAAACATTTGACCCTTCTTTCCGCCACCTGTGCCATCCCCTTAGACCCCTCACACCCTTTTTGGGCCAAGAAACCGAGCAACTTCGCAGTGCCTTCGTCCACCACCCCGTCTTGTTCCCCTGATAGGAGCAAGTCATCCACATACTGCACTCACCTGCCTCCTGGGGGTGAATTCCTCCAATATTTTCTGCAAGGTTTGTCCAAATAGGACCAGTCCCTCCTGTGTTCTTGCAGGAGGACCATCCATGTCAATTGTTATTTTATTGTAGCAGGTTGTAACCCTTTCCCTCCCCTGAAATCAGATACTGCTTTTTAGAGACTACCTGGCCTGGTTGCTTTAAAGTTATTTGGAGAGGTTCCATGTCTAGTTTTCCATATTTTCCTGGGACTGCCCACACTTCCGAATTCACTTCAGCATAAGCGTTATAAGGCATTTTGCAAAAAATAACAATAGTATTAGCTTATCTATCATCCCTTACAATATCAGTTTGCATTCCCAATTTAGCCGTCAAATCCTTTCCCAGCAGATTGCAATCACAATTTGGGACAAAAAGAGAACCATACATCTCAAATTTATTACCCACATCTGCACTTCTTAGATATTCATCTATCTTTTCCCCCACCCCTATAGGATCATCTAAATAAAGGTGCAGTTCTTTCTTTAATCCCTCTATATGGGTGTTCAGGGACAGAACCACAAATCCAAACCATCCCCTGCGTCCTGTCCTCTCAGTGGCACCTGTCAAGAGACATTTGCAGAACTTTTGTCTGAACTTTAGGGGCTTTTGGCACCTCATACTGGGCTCCCCTTTCTGATTTCCAAAGGTGACAAAGTGGCCTGTTTCTCCTCCGCACTGTCACCAGAAGCAGCAGATGCAGAGGGGGCAGGAACTGTGGCTCCCAATGAGTCTTGATGACAAGAAGAGGGCAGGCACTGGAGGACATCCCACATGTCCCCACTTGTTCTCCCTACCCCCTCGTCAGACCCCCAGTTCCCCTTCTTCTCCTCTCCCTTCTTTTACATAGATTCTTCTAGATGTCGTCCATAACTATACTGACACACATTCTCCCTGTTTCCCCTCTAAAAAGGGATGAGACCCTTTTCAGTACCACTGAGATACAGGCACAAGACCTGACAAAGACTAGGATCCTCATCTGACCCTACAGGGGACCACCTAAATCCCCCTGGTAACTTATATTTTGGCCAAACAAAACAATATTTTATTATTACTTCCTTGATTAGTTTTGAGGGAATGCACAGTTATCCCAAACCCTCAACAGTCTCCCCAAGGCACTATATGGGGATAAGTCGAGGTTGACATTTTTTTCCAATATCCTCTTTTGGCTTCCCTTTGCTGCCCTCCATAGGCACCCATGTCAGGGTCGTCACCCGTTTTGCTCCGCATTATCCCATAGTACTCACCGGTGAGATTTCAGCAGTCCTTTCAGTCAGACTTAGTCCCTTCCGTGAGACTCAGTGCTACCTGACGGTCCTTTCCGTCAGACCTAGTCTTTTCCGTTGGACTTAGTGCTACCTAGAGGTCCTCTCTGTCGGACCTATCCTTTCCATTTGACTTAGTAGTCCTTTCTGTCAGACTACTGAGGACTCCCTTCCCGGTCTTACCTGTGGATCCGCTGCTCATCTGTCTCTGGACAGTCTCAGGAACCCAATCAGTCCTGCGGTGCTGGCTGTCGTCGAAGGGAGTTGGTCAACCCCCATCGCCGTCCACCGTCGCCAGAAGGTGGAAGGATCCCAGACGAGCCCCAAATTGTGCAGAAAATCTCGCTGTCAAGAGCTGAATGTCCAAAAAGGAGACAGAGGAATCCAAAAGCATTCCAATAAAGGGAGAGTCCAGCAGCTATATCCCTGTGGGGTCTCTCAAGTTGCTGGAGGTCGCAGCCCCTTTTTTATCCTAATTTTCCAACCACGGTGGCCCTCTCCATTTCCCCACTGGCCAAGGTGCTCAGGAGTTACAGCCTTCCCAGCCGCCTATACCCAACTCCCTCCCTCCATGTGTTCTCACCTAAGGTCACCTGGCTGCTTTGTGCCCCTCTCTCCTGGCTCCGCTCAGTCTCCCACCTTCCTTTATTCCTTTGTCCTGCTCATCGGCCAAAGAACGGGGAGCAGTTTCCTCCCTCCTTTGTAAAGATACAAACTAAGAAAATTGTGTGTGTGTTCTGCGCAAGCCCAAGCTTGTGTGTGTGCTTTCTGCTCAGTTCGCAGGGACCTTTGGAGATCATCTAGTCCAACCTCTCTGCACAAGCAGAGTCACCATGAGCATGTTGCACAGGGTCACGTCCAGGCAGATTGTGAATATCTCCTGAGAAGGAGACTCCACAGTATTTCTGGGCAGCCTGTTCCAGGGCTCTGCCACCCTCACGGTCAGGAGGTTTTTTTCTCACATTCAGACAACTTCCTGTGCTTCAGTTTGTGGCCGTTTTGTCTTGTCCTGCAATGGGCCATCACTGGAAAAAATCTGTCCCCCTCCTTTTGACACCCTCTTTTAAAATATTTGTACACACTGATAGGATCTCCTGTCAGCCTTCTCTTTAGGCTAAACACAGCTCTCTCAGCCTCTCATCACACAAGAGATGCTACAGTCCCCAGCAAGAGACCACATTAAGTACAAATTTCTCTTTTCTGCCCTGCCAGTATATTATAGACCTGGCTTGCTGCCTTTTTAGGAATGAGAGACTTCTTTCCACTTTCTCTGTTAGTGTTCCTTTTGAGACTGATAAATAGAAGTCAGTTATCAAAGACTGTCTCGTTTTAATATGGATTATATCAAGCATGAACTGAACGACGGCAGCAATGTTAAATAAAAGTACTTTTGAAAGTTTTATTTATTATCTGATGTTTTTAGATAATTAGCCTTTCATCATTGTTCTTCACCTTGTTAATGGGGTGGCAGCGTTGGGCTAGGGTGTAACTTGGGTGTATACTCTGCATAGGAAGGTGAAGGTCTCAGAGCAACACTGGGATGATGCAGATCTTTGAAGCGGGAGTTTCTTGGGGTTGAATCTGAGCTTTATTGACCTTGGTTCCAAAGACATGGGGCCTCATTGCCAGATGACAGTTATTCACTGCTCTCACCTTAGGATATTGTTTCTTACACTAGTTTTATGATGCTTGTCCATTGGATTTTTATCTGCTTTAACCTTTAATAAAACAAAACAAAACAAAAATTTTCTTCCAGCTCCTACCAGTGCTGGGAAGACACTTGTTGCAGAATTGCTTATTCTGAAGCGAGTGCTGGAGACTCGCAAGAAAGCTCTTCTAATCCTCCCCTTTGTCTCTGTGGCTAAAGAGAAGAAACGTTATCTGCAGGTAAGTAGCGTTCAGGAGGGAGCATATATGGATTACAGTTGCTGGGTCATGTGTTTTAAAAAGTTGTAAGTCTTTTCATGGATAAAAAGGAAAAAGACATTCTAAGTTAGATTAAAAAAATGAGAACTTTAGACAAAAAAGGAAACTCATATCTATTTAAAGGAGTTAATACATTTAGTCTTTGAGTTTTAAAGGATTGTTGTTTGCAATTGTATATGCCTCATAAGAATTTAAAAGTAAGAGTTTGTGTCTGAAAACTTACAAAGAGGAAATTTCATCGTTATCAGGTCATCATTTTGGCTTTCCTTGGGCTGTTCTAGCAGAATTTTCTGCTTTTGTTTTCACTTTGATTTTGCTAAAAATAAGTTTTGGCAGCGTGTGGCTGTCTTGGGTTCCTCATCAAAGCTATGTAAAAACAGTCTGCAATGGAAGCAGCCTTTTTAAAACAAACCTGCTTTTCCTTGAAGACTTTCAGATCAAATCTTGTTTCCATTAGTTAATATGATACAGTAATAGCAATTATTAAAAGCAAATCTAAAACCAGCGGGTGTTATGTTAATGGTTTCTAACATTTGAGATATACTGAGTGTTAGTAGACTGAGACGGTATCATAACCTCACAGATTACTAGGAAATGCTACAAACTGAATATGAACTTGTTGTGATTGATAATATAAAAAAAGTAAACATTTGCTTTAATCTCACAAAGTTGAGGATCATGTTTTATTACTCCTGGCCTAGTGTTTGGTTTTAGCTGCTCATGCTTGAAATCGTATGACATCCTGGCCATGTGGTTCAAGTATTTACACCTCTTTTTTAGTGCAGTGTATAAGTTGCCACAACTTTGGCACTATGGTTATCACCATTTCTTACCTTTCTCCTGGGAAACTTGACATCATTGTACTCAGGGTCCAACATTTGGCTTTTGCGTCAGATTTTTCAGGAGTCTTTTTATACGTAACTCACCGGTATTGTAACATGTTGTAAAATGTTTCTCATCTTCTTAATAGTAAATTCATCCTGTTATATACCACAGTAGGGCTCCCCACGTCATACTCATTTTTATGCCCTTTATCCCCTCCTGCAGTTATGGACTGGGTGGCTTCTGGGTGTGGATAGAAAAAAATACAGTGGAGTAGGGGGCAGTTAATAATAACTGACCAAGCTATAGTTTTAATCTGATTATCTGGCACATTACGTATCATGAGTTGTGGTTATAAGATGCAGGCTTTGAAGCAATTTCAGAAAAGTCAGGGCTCTGCCTCTTGGTGTGACATTCTGTCTCCTTGGAAAACAGGCCCTGTTTCAAGAGGTGGGGCTGCAGGTGGAAGGCTACATGGGAAGCATCTCTCCTGCTGGACGTTTCTCTGCCCTGGATGTTGCCGTCTGCACCATTGAGAAAGCCAATGGTCTCATCAATAGACTCATAGAAGAAAAGCAAATGGATTCACTGGGTAAAACACTAGGGCTTGACCATTGGAAGAATTATTGAATAGTGGTGTTTAAAAATGATTGTGCTTGTGCAGCATTTCAAGCTCACTTAAACTGAGGCTACCGCAGTGCAGGTCAGTTGTTGGCTCTACCTTTCCATCCCTTCCCTTGCAAGTCACTGCTCTCTGCCAGCTCCAATGCCAGCATAAGGCAAAGAGTGGGGTCAGGGTACCCTTGTTTATGTTGTCTTGGGTGCCAGGGAAACAGCTAATGTGTTGCCTTTCATTAGCGTCTTTCAGAAGGTACAGCTATGCCAAATGCCTTGGGCTGGTACATCAAATCCATGTTTTGCTGATGTTTTGCTGGGTTCTGCAAGAGGGAAGTGCCTGAGATGCATCAGATATATGCAAAAAGTCATGTGAATATAAGGCTTGAGCCGGCATATGTGTCCCCATCACTGATAATATCTCTTTAAAGCATAGCATTTCCTTTCACCATTTGAAACCTTCTCTGCTGCAACTGTCTTTTTCCCTTGCTCCCCAATATGACTAGGCAGCTGAAAAAAGGGAAAGAATTTTTTTTTGTGCTTATTTCATTTTTTTAAAGTCATCTTTTAATTAAAAAGACAAATTTTCCATATGAACTTTTTTTTTTATAAAAGCTGCAAAATACAAGAAAGGGCTGAAATGCCTTTTAACTATCATCTAAAGCAAGCTTGTCTAATACTGCAAGATTGTACCTTGTCTCCTAATTAATTCTAAATTTAGACCACTTCATAAGCAGGGTGTTCTATCTTTTGAGATGAATTATTGGGAGATGACTGCAAGTCTGTCTGGATTCTCTCTCAAACTCGAGCTGCTGCTTTTGTTGGTGTCAACCTCCTGCTGCTAACTCAGACTGCCTTTGCAAAACGTTGAGAGAAATTCAGATCTGTGCCTGACAGAGCTCTCCTTCTGTAATGAGGCAGTTCAAAGCAATGTGATTTTGCTAATTATCATATAATGTGTAGAGATTTTGAACATCCAGGTAGACAGGAAATGGAGATACTCCTCTTGGTCAGCCTCATTTCTTGACACTGATGCTAGAGAATTTTTTAGGAAGGCAGGTTGGAGACGAATCTTCTTTTTCAACGTGTCAGCTAGGAATGATGTGTAATATGCAGTCAGCCGTGAAATTTAAGCCTCTTCTTTTTCTTAATTTATAGTTTAAAAATGATGGCTTCCTTGGATTAAAAAAAAAAGCCTCTCTGCATGTTTTTAGTAACTTTAGATTTAAATGAGATGTGGATTGAAAGTAGCTTAGTTATTCTTGAATAAACACGTACAAAAGCCCTCAGCACTTTTGGATAGTTTTCCAGCAGTCTTCTGGGGTCACGCCTGATTTGCAGGCAGGAGGAGGAGACCAAGGCAGCCTCATTTTCAGTAGCGATGCAGGTTTGATGCCATCACAGCCCCACTTGCAGGCCTGAGCTTGTTGCCAGTCGAAAAGGCAATTGCGTGCTGGGCCCCATAGTCTTCCTCGGTGGCACTTCCATTTTAAGATGAGGCTATATTTGTGACCACCACTGGCTGCCTGATTACTCCAGCTGTGCTATCCAGGTGAGTGACGTCTGAGAAGATGCCACATGAGAGAAAAGCACCATGCGTGTGTGAGACAGCTCTCGTGAGCATGGAGGCTGCTCAGGATATATTGCAGCAGACAGCTGTAGCGTGGCCTTGAGCATTTGTTATCGCTGAGCAGCAACAGAAGTTTTAGAAGATGTGGCCCATCCAAAATAGAGTGACATTCCCTGGGTTTTAGCCTGCAGGTACCCTCTAGTGCTCCAGACTTTATTTCAGGAAGCAAAATGTGCTGCTGCCTGGTACAAAGACCAAGGTGTGCGAAGCTGTGTTCAATGCATTTTGCTTTGGTAGACAGCCCTGTCTCCACTGCAAGAGTTCAGCCAGATTGTTGTATGGGGAAGCAGGGAGAAACTTCTTCTGGTAGCTGAGTAATTCCCTATCTACTAGCAAATCACCAGTCTTTGTAAGGAAGCGCAGAATAGCAGGAATATAGGAAAGTGGAGGAGCTAAAGAGGTGGGAGTTGTGCAAGAAAGTGATGGGGGAGTGCTGCACTCTTTTCTAGCTTAAGTGGCTTGGAAGAGAAGGAGGAAGACAGAGAAAGAAAGAACATACGTAGGAGAGAGAGAGAAAAAAAGAAGGAAAATAGCATTGAGTTAGATAATAAAAGGTCAAATTTACCCTTAAGCTCCTGCTATTTTTGCTGTGCCAGCAAGATCTTTTTATATAGCTGTACCAAAGGGGAAAAAATAAAAACTCTACAGCAGCCACAGTAATGAAGCCCAGTGTCCTCTATTCCCTGCTTTTTCTGCTTTCCCTCAGTGTCTTTCATGCTTGTCCTTTTGACATTGCCAGATGGCCATTGAGGGCACATGTTTCTGCTAGGTGTGCTAGGTGGTTATTGTGAGGGGGAGCATCAAATGGCTGAAATGCAGTGTCTGTTCTCCCCTCTCTGGCGGGTTGACATCTCTCCAGGATATCCTCACCAGCTGCTGGTATTCACAAAGTGTTTTAGAAACTATTCTCTCTAATATATGTACGCATCTGGCAAGTTCAATAAAGGTGGCTGATAGATTAAAAGTTTATTTGAGGGAGGCAAGGATAGAGCGGTCTCATTTTTTTCAGAGGAAGCCAAAATTAAATAGTAGAGCTTATCCTGGTTTGATAAGTGAGGGAAAAATTATATTAGCAGGACACTCTCTGCCAGTGTAATTGCATCTGCTCTAGTGTTTTGTTTGTTTGTATGTTTTTCCTGTCATCACTGAATTGGCCAGGAGTGATGTTTTAACCCAGATAGTTATGATTTATCTCTTAGAAGATCCTGTGACTGCATTAAGTCGTAACAGGTTTTGATAAGCACCACTGGATGGGATGTGTGCATTTTTGTTTATCATGTGGAATGTGAAAGGAGATTGCTGTGTATAATGTGTACGTTTTTATCAGGAATGGTGGTTGTGGATGAGTTGCATATGCTGGGAGACTCTCACCGAGGATATCTGCTGGAACTCCTCCTGACCAAAGTTCGGTATCTTACGGAGAAGGTTGCAAAGAGGTGAGTAGACCAGTATGTTTGTCTTCCAACTATTATGGAGTTATGGATGGCTTAAATATTCTTTTTTTTTTTTTTTTTTTTATCTGGGTGGTTGGAAATTTGGATTAGCTTCAAGGTTTTTTTTGAGAGCTATGACCTAGAATACTTCGGTTATTAAGGGCTCATCATACCACCTCTCAGGAGGCTGCCATTGTAGTCAGAACCTCTTTCCATTGTGTTTTTAATTTGTGTTCTACCATGAGATTCATTCTCTCAGGAAAAGAAATAAGGATGTCATTTCATTTACTTTTTTTTAGCCTATTTTTTTTTAAACCTTGAGTTTGTTTTAATGTTTTTGCTAGTAAATTTTTGTTTTTCATGCAGTAGGCTTTCAGTCCTGCCGAAGCATGTTCAGGCAGCATTGGAGAGCTTGCATGCTCTTAACTTGTTGTAGAAAACTTACCAGAATGTGCTAGTAATCTGCTTAATTAGTACTGGTGAGGGTGATATGTGTTTTCAGTTGCACTGTGTGTCACTTCTCACCTCTGACATAGCTCATTTGATCCTGAGGTACCGATTAAATGGTGCTGAACCAGGCAGCAACATCGGACTAAGTTGCCAATTGGGATTTTACGTGAATTTCAGTGGTGTTAGTTAGGTGTCCTAAAACATATTCCCTGTAGAGCATATTTTTATTCTCCAGTCTCCCTTTTGCTCACTGTGTGTACTCATCAGAGAGCACACAGTAATGCTTTGGTTATTATCACCAACCTACAAAATGGAATGTTTAACGGTGTAATGCGTTCAGCTGTTATCTTGTAGTTTTTACTTTTTCTTGTTTTTTCATTAAAGTTCTCTGTCAAATATGCCAATAGGCACTAGGGCTCAGATTCTTCTTTCTTATGGTCAGACTGACTGTCTGTCATTCTCCTTACTACTTAGTAGCGTGAAGGTGGTGACTGTTTTCTGGCTTTGGTACTCACTTGAGAATCCCAGCATTGAAGACTGTTCTTTCTGTTAAGCAGCCTAAGCATTTTCTTTTTTTTTTTGTAATGAAAGATCCTTTATCCAGATTCTTTAAAGACTGTCCAGCCTTACCTGTTACCAAAATGACCAGCTGTAAAGCAGGGGGCTGTGTCTTTGCATCAGCAGAAAGTTCTTCGAGGGCTGGCGCCAGTGAGGGCATCCCTGCCCTCAATGTAGCTTTTGCAGGTACAGCCAGCGTTCTGCTGCAGATTTCTCTGCTTCCCAGCGAGAAGAGGTGATGTGAAACTACAAAGTTTCCATGGTCGTTGCCAGTGAGCAAGGCTTACGTTTAGTCATTGCTTGAAATTGAGCACTTCCTGCATATATAGTCTTCCACTATAGTCTTCAACATAGAGGTGGCAATTGGTACTTCATGCTGTTCTTAGGGATGTGTCATCTCCGTGTGCTTTCACTTGCCTATCTTGGAGTCCTTTCAGAAACTGAGTGTTAGGACCTTTCAGGAAGGTAAGTAGTGAAGTATAAATAAGAGGAGTATATAAAATATTGTATATTTTAGTGTCGCCCACTCTCCTCTTCCTTTTATTTTTAACCTTTTTTTTTTTTTTTTTAGTCTCATTCTATGTCTAGTGACATGGATGGGAAATGCAGACGACTGGTTGTAAGTTTAGAAGAATAAAAAATCTCATCATGTATACTTTATTCCAGACTTTAACATGCACATGTAGGCACCTAAATGAATAGCTTGAGATTTCAGGTCTGTTGAGAGTCCATTATTTCCCACTGAATTTAGTGGAACCTGCTGTTCAGCACTTAGGAAATTCGAGCTGACATTTTTTTTTGCTGCACTAAATATTTTGGTTTACAACTGTAGGCAAACCAGCCTAGAGTTATTGGTTCTGAAACTGAAACAAATGGAAGTGACCTAACAGAGTCATTTGAGCTTAGGAAGATTGCGGAGACTGATCTGCTCCTCTTTTTCCATGTTCTTGTTAATGGCGAGGAAATTAGTTTTTGTTTTTCAGTTTCTTCAAATGTGCAGTCAGCTTACAGCTGTTACTGCCTAAAGAAGCTAGAAATATAGATTCAAAATGAAAAAAAAAGGGTTGTATTATCTTGTAATGAATCAATAATTTGTCACTATGTTTGATTTGATAAAAGTAGGGTGTGCCTTGCTTCTTTTGCAAGAAGTTCAAAGAACAGCTTTTCACACCAAAAATAGGTCATATTTGTGTGATTGATGTTTTCCAGGACAACAGCTTGTGTAGTTATTGACTTCCATTTTCTTTTAACCACTTGCAGAAAGCCAAAGACGACCAGTCCTCGTTTTAGTGGGATACAAATAGTAGGCATGAGCGCTACCCTCCCTAACCTGGGACTCCTAGCCTCGTGGCTGGATGCAGAGCTGTACTCCACAGACTTTCGGCCTGTGCCCCTCATGGAGTGGGTGAAAATTGGCAGCAACATTTATGACTCTTCCATGAATCTAGTGCGAGAATTCCAGCCCAAGCTTCAACTGAAGGTAATAAAACTGAGTTTAATTGAGGGTCTTTGGGATAACAGCTTAAAGTTAAAGTTAACATGGCATATTTACTTATTTTTTAATAGGTTACAATCCCATCTTCTTTTTTTTATTTTACACATTGTACACGCAAACTAAGAAATCATAGAATGCTTAAGGTTGGAAGGGACCTCAGAGGTCATCTAGTCCAACCCCCCTGCTCACGCAGGGTCACCCAGAGCACGGGGCACAGGGCTGCGTCCAAGCGGGTTCTAAAGATCTCCAAGGAAGGAGACTCCACAACCTCTCTGGGCAGCCTGTGCCAGGGCTCTGTCACCCTCACTGTTTTCTTAAAGAAATGTTTTCTTAAGTTCCTGTGGAACTAAGGACAACATTTGTTATTTTCTCGCCTTTTGACTTTTACTGGTAGCTTAAAAACACATAAAGTTATGAATTTGAATTCTTCATGTTTCTTGAATCTGATTTGAGGGCAAAGTTGACTTTGCAACCCTCTTGGCTTTGAACTCTTTATGTCACATATCAAGAGCATCAATTCCCACCCCAAACCTTGACCCTGCCCCAGAAAATCCCCTATCTAATAATGTTGTGTCCTGAGATCTACTTTATATTTCTCAAGGAGGGTAAATATTTCTAGTAGGGGACCTCTGGAGATTGTGTGGTGTAGCACCCCTGCTCAAGCCCATCAGCTAGGTTGCTCAGAGCCACGTCCACTCTGATTTTGAATATCTCCAAAGAGGGAGACTTCACAACCTATAAAAGGGAAAGTTCACAACCTATAAAATCTTATATAATCTGCCTTGTTCTTGCTTATATAATCTGCCCTGTTCCTATATAATCTGCCTTGTTCTTTCCCCACTGCTGTGGGATGGCGCTTGCAGCCACTTTCTGTGTACTGTGTGGCCTTCCTTCAGATGTATAGATTTATGAAACTGAGACATGAAATCTTATTTATTCATATGTAAGTTTAGGGCTGCCATAAGTAATATGGTTGTACCAGTGCCTAGACTTCTTAAAATAAGAAAAAAAATGAAGATGACAGTGCTCGATCTTCCTTGGCTCTTCTGCCTACTAGATGTAAAAGATTCCTACGATGACACAGAACAGTGACAGCATTTACAAACCTTGTTCAGTCTTACACTGCTTTGAAAATGCTTCCTTTTCCCTCAATTCAGGGAGATGAAGACCATGTTGTAAGCCTGTGTTACGAGACTGTTTGTGATGGTCATTCAGTCCTGCTCTTCTGCCCATCCAAGAACTGGTGTGAGAAGCTGGCAGATGTCATTGCCAGGGAATTCTACAATTTGCAGCAAGCTGAGAGTAAGAAAAAACAGCTAATAGCAGGCTGTAATCTTCTCGGTACCTTTAATGCAAAGTAATTTAAAGTCAAGCTATAAAAATATTTTCTTTTTCAAGGTTCTGCACAAAAATCAGCCCTTTCCCCAGTTGTTGTGGACAGAGAAGGGATAAATGACCTTCTGGATCAGTTAAAACATTCTCCCTCGGGCCTGGACTCGGTGCTCCAACGTACTTTACCATGGGGAGTAGCGTTTCATCATGCAGGTATTACTGAGTATCTTGGTTTTGCAGTCTGTGATGGTTACGTTGTATGGATTCTTATCAGAGAATGGCCAAATGGCTGAGGTTGGAAGGGACCTCTAGAGACCATCCAGTCCAACTCCTCTGCTGCAGCAGGGACACCCAGAGCACGGGGCACAGGGCGGCATCCAGGCGAGTTTGGAAGATCTCCAGGGAAGGAGACTCCACAGCCTTCCTGGGCAGCCTGTGCCAGGGCTCTGGCACCCTCACAGTGAAGAAGTTCCTCCTCACGTGGAGATTGAACTTCCTATGTTTATATTTAAAATTCCTGTGTTTATATTTATTCCTCTGGTTTATTATATTTGCCTGCTGCTTTTTGAAACCTTCTCTAGCTTATGACTGAAAAGAAGATATTTGAGTATTTTGCAGAACTATACTTGACATTGTTTATTCGCCAAAGACTTCACTAATTGTGAGGAAGTCTTCTATTATGTTGAATAACAGCAACTTTCTAAACAATTTGAAAATATTTGTAGAATCCCAGGAATATGAACTGATTTACAGCCAAAGCATTCTCAAGCTGTCCCTACTAGCTACTAGGTTTCTCAGAGCAGTTTTTTTCAATGTAATTCTAAAAGATGATAAATAAATAAAAGCAGTATTACAGTGAAGAAGAAATAAAAGGGAAACTTGAGGCTATAACTTTTGCCTAGATCTTTTCTGACTTACTTAAATATCAGTGTAAGTCATTTGTTGATCCACTGAGAGAAATGGACTAACTAGTGGGAGGCAAAACAGTAACAGTGGCATTGAATATAGGAAAAAACAAAACCAGAAACTCACATGGAGTGTGGGTTTTTCCTCAAGAAAGACCTTAGCCTGAATCTCTCAGGGATATGGAGAAGGACCTGTAACGGAGTATGAAGGAGGAGTCAAGGTTCAGAATGGCGACTCATTAAGTCCTGGTTCCTTACTGTGGTTCCTTACTAGAATAATACAGCATTTTATTTATAAATATGTAGTAAATATTTGTTCAGTTTGCTACTTGTGCAAGTAGAAGAGGTAGTTTGTGATTAGATTGTGAATGATGAAACCTTCGTGGAAAGTTTGCTTCAGTTCAAAAGAAATAAAGGAGATGATGGTTGTGACTGTAGTTAAAATGCTGAATGGTGATTATCCATTAAGGCTCTTTCTCTCCTTACTTGAGAGCAATACTGTTAGCTTTTAAATGTAATCTTGCTGCGAGTGAGTTCACTGAAAGGCATCTTTCCCCAGGTCTTACATTTGATGAACGGGACATCATAGAAGGAGCCTTTCGCCAGGGCTTGATTCGAGTCCTAGCAGCAACCTCCACGCTCTCGTCTGGGGTGAACTTGCCTGCGCGCCGAGTAATCGTACGGACCCCCTTGTTTGGTGGCCAGCTGCTGGACATCCTCACTTACAAGCAGATGGCTGGAAGGGCTGGCAGGAAAGGAGTGGACACAGTGGGTAGGTGGAGGCTTTATTAGCATTCCCCGAGAACGGTGTTAACCTAATTAAATCCAGGGCAGTGCTTTGCAATTAGCGACTAATCATGATGAATTCCTTTGGTATTTGGTATGATGAAATTAGTCAAGATGCATTTGTTTGGTACTAATGGAGTGAAATTTGTAGTTGCCAAGGGATTCCTTTTTGACTGCATGAGACTTGTTTTGATATTTGCGTGTCAGTTACTTCAGGAATGGCCTGTTTTTTTCCATGAACTCTTGATAGCTTCTAAGACCTTGCTCCTATGCCTTAATTCTGTGATGCATGGTTAATTTACTAAAGCATTTACAGTTTCAGTGTGAAAATGTATAGGAAACTGTAACGGTCAGGCCTAAAACTTGAGAAACACTTTTAAATCCTGCAGTCAAACATTGAAAAGCTGCATATGTCACCTGAAGTTCTGACTTGCATTTATAAACTTCCACTGCAAAATAATATTTTTGGATCCTGAAAGTACTAATGCCGTAGAAATACAGCAGAACATGAACAGTTGGTCATAGATAATATGCTAAGTTCATGCATCCAGTGGCACTAATTGACATCCAACAAGCTAACCCAGCCTGTTAGTTAAATTTGCAATGGAAATTTATGTCCATGGATGACATTTGGAGGAACTGTATTAAACAAATGTAAACAGAACAGTATGAAAGTGTGAAGTTCAACAGAAGGTGGAAGGAGGACTGGTTATGCAATTTGGCAAAGCCTCTAACTAGCTAGGCCAATCAGGAACCTCATTTGTTGAAAAAGAACCCCTCCTTTTTATTGTCATTTCCCTTTGTTTGTTTCACAGCTTTGGGATCTGTTTTTGTCTCTCACAGAACTTCAGTAGTTAGAGATGCACATTTAAATCCTCTATCAGGCATTGTCGGGTGGGATGTATTTAGATGTACTTCCAGTGGAAACCATTTCAGAGAAGGACTGATTGCTTGGGTTGATACCTGTGTATTTCTATTTTGCTTTGGTATCTGTAATTTCATTTCAGGAACAGAAGCTGATTGATTTAGCACCCACTTGCAGCATGTAGTGCAGCTTGTGTATTTCCTTCCTGATTTTGAGAGTCTTTTCTCTGTAGTTCAGAAGAAAATAGTAATGCTTGTATGTCATGACACTGGTCAAATCCATAACAAGAAGTGAGAGGGGTTCAGCTCCAGAACATGGGCTGAGAGGCTAACAAATAGAAATTTAGAAATTGATTTGATGAGACCTGAATAACTTAATGTAACTTTAAAGTCTGTGTCCTCCTCTGAGCTCTTGATTCTTAAACGCTGCACATCTGTGGAGTTTTTACATAGCAATGGTTGTACACTGCTTAAGTTGGTGAAAGAGCAAGTAGCTTTTAATCTTTTTGTTTTATTTTTTCAAAAGTATCTCCAATTGTCTCCTCTAATATGTCCTCAGTGAACTCTATGTAGCTGCTACAGTGCTAAAATGGAATATGGATTCAAAAACTGGCTTCATTTCTCAGTAGACTTAAAAGCCTGCCTTTTTTTTTGCCACTGAAAGTCATTAAACTTCTTCTGTTTTCCATGTAGGTGAGAGCATTTTAGTTTGCAAGCCCTCAGAAAGATCGAAAGGGACTGCTCTGCTACAGGGATCTCTCAAGCCTGTTCGCAGTTGCTTGCTTAGAAGGGAAGGGGAAGGTGTTGCTGCTAGCATGAAACGAGCAATACTTGAGGTACGGGACATGCGGAGAAGTGGAACTGTATTCACACCCTTGTAATTGTGAATGATTCCTGTCGCGATACCGTCACGTGTTCTCTGTGTACTTCCTTGTGGTTTGTTTTTCCTCTCTTGCCAATGCACCAGCTTCAAAAGATCCTGCTGTTTTCTTCAACAGATCATAGTGGGGGGAGTAGCCAGCACGCCGCAGGACGTGCAGACCTACGCTGCGTGCACTCTTCTTGCGTGCAGCTTGAACGATAGCCCGGCGGGAAACGAGAAAGACCGAGACCGAGTGCGGACTGGAGCTATTGAGGCTTGTGTGGCCTGGCTGCTGGAGAATGAATTCATCCAGGTGCTGGACTCGGGCAGCGAAGGGAAAGGTAACGTCGCTGCTCCGTGCTCTGCCTCCTTCCAGAGACCGCAGTTAGTGCTGCTGAGTCCACAGGTCTTCTGCATCTGGGAATTCAGTTCAGAAACTGAATGGATGATGGTCTTCTATGATGAAGACCTCTCTTGTGTTTTGATTTGGTTCTTGTTTGTTTCGTTTTAAAATGTGTCAGATTTTCTAGCTTTTTAAGGGATGTCTTTGTTCTTTCTTTAACACTGTTGTTTACACATGTTATCTTTGGAAAGCCTCTGTGTGGCATCTCTAAGACTGATGTGTCCCAGTCTACATATTCCCAAACTATGTTTAAAGAAGGTGAGGTTTTTACTACAGGATTTGTGCACATTGACTAGTTTTTCTGAAGGGAAACTGGTACAGTCTGAGAGAGAAGAATCACTTTCAGAACTCCATGGTACACATGGTTGTGCTTTTCCTTGGTTTTTGCCATTTTCTTGAAATGGCTTAGCATGAGGCTCTTAGCAGTAGTAGTAAGAATCTCCCATTACAGGTCAGGTTTGTATCTCATAATAAGATACGAGATATTTAGCTCTCTTAGGAGAGAAATATTCAAAATAATAATTAATGGACATGTGATGGTGGATGGAATCACTGTGTTTTTAGTTCAAATAACTGTCGTTAAGTGTTACTCTGAATACAAGTTTAAGGAAGCTAAATGTATAATGCAGTCTCTCAAAAAGATTAACTTAGACTTAGGCCAGATATTAAGTTGGTTTTTTTTTTCTCTTTAATTTTCCTGTCTTCAAAATGTGGAGCACTCATTTTTTTTTTAAAGGGCAGTTGAGGAAAGTTATTAGAATAAATATCTATAAAATGTCTTGCAACCTGAAAGTGAGATACAGCCTTGCACTTAAATGTCTTTTATTTATTTATTTCATAGCAAAAGTTTATCATCCCACACATCTTGGGTCAGCTACTCTTTCCTCTTCTCTTTCACCAACTGAAGCCATGGGAATCTTTGCTGATCTGCAGCGAGCTATGAAAAGCTTCGTTCTGGAGAATGATCTGCATATTGTCTATTTGGTAGGTTCCTCATTCCTTTTTTTTTCCCCTTTTATTTTCTCCCTTTCTTTTTTATCAGCTTATACTGCCAAAAGTAGGAAAGGAAAGAAAACCCAGTGCAGGGTTCCTCAAACGCATTTCAGAAGTTCATGAGTTTGTGTGTAGGATTTTTTTTTTCTCAAATACTTGAAGGGGACTGGTCGAGTTGTTTTTGATTGATGCCCAAGTTTAGGTTCAGCAGGCTGCACCTCAAATGCTGAAAATCTGGTTCTGATTTAGTTTGCTTCAGTCTGCAGATCCTACCTTGGCTAAAGGAAGGAGTATGCTCAATCTTTGGAAGGGAGCGTTGGTTGAGATTTATGTACATATGCGCTTGGAAATTTCACCAATGTAGTCTAAGATCTATGGAGAGAAAGTCATGAACCTGTGACTATAAAAATCTGGGACTGAATTTCAAGGCCTTGTATTTTAGCAAAGTTGATTAAAAAGAAAATACCAAAAGCAAAAGCCTTCAGTAGCTCTTGCTCTTTTCAACAGATGAAAGAAGATGCACATTTTAAAACTGTCTAGGCATCTGGTACTCTGTGCATCTATTAAATGCTCCTAAAGAACTATTATTAGTTGTTTCAAAATTACTGATCTTGCAGCATGCCACAGATTTGAAGGCTGAATCAGATTCTGCATTGTTTGAATGGTAACAGAATCGTTTATCTCTAGAATTGTGTGAAGGCTTTTGGTGGCTTTATTGTTACTATTAATAAAAGCTGAGATGCATTGTGTTCAAGGTGAATGCAAACTTCAGTAAACTCTGGTAAAGAAAAACAGAACAAAACAAAAATTACATTCCCTTCTGCTTGATCATATGTCTTGGCAGTCGTTAGTATGGTAGCTATTATTGGATTTTTTTTTCCTGTAGTGTGCAGGAAAAATACCCTCTTGACATTGGTTTTAATAGGCTGATAGATGTTTGTGAGTTTTGTCAGAGGAGAATAATCTCAAATTATATACAATCTTAAAGAAGTTTCTGGTGGCTTGCATTTAGGGAGCAATCTGGCAGATATTCCAAACTGTTTAATCATTACAGCATATAGCATGAGTCAGATCTCCGCAGCACAGATATTAAAAACCAATAAACAAGGAAAAGACTCAGACAAACTTTTACTTTCTTCACGCTACATGGTTATTACTCTGTGCCTCTGAGTAGCACATAGGATGCTCTAGCCACATTCCTAAGTCCTGCTCTAGTTTACTGTCATCTTTGAAGAAGCTCTGCTCCGCTTGTTACTTTGAAATAGTTTTTGCACTGGCTTCCTTCCTTCAGGTTACTCCTGTGTATGAGGAGTGGACCACAATTGATTGGTACCAGTTTTTCTGCCTGTGGGAGAAGCTGCCTGCCTCAATGAAGCGTGTAGCTGAGCTTGTGGGGATTGAAGAAGGCTTTCTGGCTCGCTCTGTAAAGGGCAAAATCATAGCTAAAACAGAGAAACAGCACAGACAAATGGCCATTCACAAAAGGTAGGCCAAAAATCCACACAACTGGACACGAATGCACAAAGACCAGAAGCTGTAACATGCAGAGAGGACCAGTTCTCTGCATGCTTTCTGGAGCACGAGCTGCATGAGCTGGTTGCTCAGATTGGTTTACAGAGAACCTGGGTCTGATCTACTGTGAACCAAGAATGTGGCTCTCCTGAGATGCTTGAGTTGATACTCTCAGAGCCATCTTTTGTGTTTCTTCTGTGGCTACACTTAACTGCCCTTTTGTCCTGTATTATCACAGTGCATTTTGCCCATGCACTAACCTGCCTTAGATGATGATTTTATTGCTGTGTGTGCTTTTACTACAGGTTTTTCACCAGTCTTGCCCTCCTGGATTTAATCAGTGAGGTTCCCTTAAAAGATATGACCAAGAAATACGGTTGTAGTCGTGGCCAGCTTCAATCCTTGCAGCAGTCTGCTGCCACCTATGCAGGTGAGTTGTGGGAGCAAAAAACCTCTGAGGAATCTTGGGCTGCTCTTTTTTCTTTCTTTTCAAATTAGGGGATTTGAAAGCTGCAGCGTGATACTAACAGCAGTAGGTCTTGTAACTTCCAGTTTTAAAACTTAATTTGTGGGATGGAGTCACAGTGTGTGCTGTGGGAATGGGGGTGAACGGAGTGGAATCAGGAGTGGTTGTAATGTGCTGAAGTCTACAGAAACTGCTTGTTTGTTTATCTTGCAGCAAAATAATCCGTTCAATGTTGATCATGGATATTAAGTACAGGTTCATACTGAAGCTTTGCTTCACAGTAAAAAATGCCTTTAGAATGGGTGAAGTTTAGGGTCTCTAAACCTCACAATGATTGTTTTCCAGTTGCAAAGTTTATTTGCCGGAAAGTTGGAAGTTATGAAACAGAGTGAGTAGTTTCCAGGTCATTTATCCCCAGATACAGAGAGATCAGAGAGCTGTAACCTTTAAGTTATCTTCTTACAGGAGGCTGTGCAGGAAAATAGGTAACATAGCACAACCATGTGATTAAGAGATTTTTTTCTTTCACCTAAAGTAACAGAGGACCCAGAGTCCTCCATTAGTCTGTAAATGGGCCCTCAATTGGGAAGACCGTTGTAGCTCAACTTGCCAAACCCCTTGTATGGGTTGCAGCATGAGTCAAAGCCCCAAAATGAAAAGGCCACGCCAACTGAGCCAGAGTAGTTTAAATTAATTCTGGAGTATAAATAATTTTTTTGCTGTAGCAGTTTCCCAATTCTGTATTCACAGTGCTAGTCGTTTTCAGCAGTCAGGTGGATTAGTACAGCAACAAAAATAACTTGGGAACTGAAGTTAATCTGTTGGCATGAGATACGATAAAAGCTGTATTCCATAATCACTATTAACAATGATGTTGAGGGATGCTGTGTCTTTCAGTTATTTTCATATTCTCTAGGTGCAAACTAAGAATATGAAGTTGTCTTTTATCCTGTGTTTGTTTTTTATTTTTTTTCACCCTCCTCCCATGCTCGTATGGCTGCAGTTGTAACATGTACTGTAGGTTTTGCCATCTCTTATGAGACTCTCAGTACCTGAAATTATACAGGTCAAGTTCTGCTGTTACGGAAATCAGTGCCAACTTTCCGTAATATCTGTGTATATTAATGTAATATATCTGTGTAATATCTGTGTAATATCCTTAATATCCTTGTAATGCCTTTCATTGCTCTTTTTTCTCTTTTCGTCCTTCGGCTTGGTTCATGGGGATCCTGTTATATCCTGTGTGTGCATTTCTTACTTGCACGATTAAGATCCTTGGAATTCCCGCCTTACTTGCAAACTGATTAACTCCAGCTTGAACCTGAGTTCTGGCAGAGCAGCTCCTAATCAAAGACATAATATGAATATGTTAGGGAACGATGGCAGTTGCTGTATGTACTGGGAGGTTAGAAATGTAAAGGTAATGCCTAATCAGATGAGGGGAGAGCCTGCATCTAACTTAGTAGAAGCGAACCTAGCGTCTACTTGCAACAGATGCAGTCCCTGATGCAACTTTTATGTTCTAGGGATGGTAACAGTTTTCGCTAATCGCCTGGGCTGGCACAACATGGAGCAGTTGCTTTCTCAGTTCCAGAGCCGACTCACTTTTGGTGTTCACAGGGAGCTGTGCGACTTGGTGCGCATCTCCGCGCTGAACGCGCAGGGCGCTCGGACGCTCTACAGCGCCGGCTTCCTCACCGTGGCTGACCTCGCCAAAGCCAGTGCTGGTGACGTGGCAGCTGCGCTCACCTCCTCGGTGCCATTTAAAAGGTGAGGAGGCAGGCCAGGGCGCAGTAAGAGCTTTGTTTGTAAGGTGCAGATTTACAGGAAGAGGTTTGTATTGAAGTATGGCAACCGTTTGGGATTTGGTGCCAAATGCTAATTAAAAATCACAGAATCACAGACTGGTTGAGATCATCCAGTCCACCCCCCTGCTCCAGCAGGGACACCCAGAGCACGGGGCACAGGGCGGCATCCAGGCGGGTTTGGAAGATCTCCAGAGAAGGAGACTCCACAGCCTCCCTGGGCAGCCTGTGCCAGGGCCCTGGCACCCTCACAGTAAAGTTCTTCCTCATATGGAGATGGATTATAAAATAATGTATAGCTCACTGTGACTGATCACAACGATTCCATAATTATTTTGAAATGTATTTAAGTTATTGTATTTGCAACATAACTTTGGGAGGTCATTTTTTTGTTCTTTCTTGACCTACTGCTTATCTGTGGGCAAATTGTTAAAGCTTCCGGGAGGCTTTTTGCCATCTCTGAAGAAGAGCTGGTGCCTTCCTGTTCCTCCATGTGATCAAATTAATTAATGATTCATTGCAGTATATCTTATGAGATTGTCTTGTGACCTTGTACTAGTGCAATGATAAACTTCTAGCATGAAGTTCCTATCAGTCTTTGAAGCTATCATGCTAATTGAAATAGGAGCGGAGCAGTATAGTGCCTGCTCCTTACATTGTTTCCTGTGACCTGTATAAATGTTTACATCTATCTGCTGCCGTTCCTGTAGTGTCCGGAGGGCTGTGGATGAAGATGAGGAATCAGCAGAGGAGCGTCGCAGCAAACGCAGCGTCTGGATCGCCGGAATGAAGGGCTTGAGTGAAAGTGAGGCAGCTTCCCGCATTGTGGAGGAAGCCCGGGGACTTCTTCAGCAGGACCTGGCGCTGCTGGGAGTGCAGTGGAACCCAGAGTCTTTTCTTGAGTCTGATACATCCTCTGTGACCAGCAATGAGTCCGAGCTGGAAGACAGACTATGTAGATCGAATGGAGAATGGTCTGCTCCACCTTGTAGGGCATTAAACAAGCAGTGGCACAGAGTTCAGCAGTGTGATGGCTCTGGCTTCGAGGCTGGAAACTTATCCTGCCTTAAAAAGGGATGTAAAAGGCGACTGAGCGGGAGTACAGCAACCTCCAGTTTTCAGAGCGAAGCCCAAGGCAGGGCACAGGTTCAGGCAGAGGAAGGAAACAGTGATGTTGTGCAGAGTGCTCGGAAAAGGCCAAATATGAGCCGAGACCAGGCAAACACAAAAGGTGCTTCTCAGGTCGAAACCAAGACAGAGTCCAGGAGGGTGATTCTGCCACTCTCTGCTGAGCAGGGAGACACACCAGCACTGAGAAAAATGTCTTCAGCTTCTCGACTGGTAAGAAGTACGGACACACATTTGAACCGAAGTAAGAACAGAACTGCTCCAAAACCTGCTTCCAAACTGCGGAGGTCACTGCTTGAGGTTTCAGATATGCCTAGCACAGACCTACAGGAGCCGCCCATTTTTCACCACCACATTGCTAAAGATGTTTTATTTCCTCACCAAAATAAGCAGGAATTTATAGGAAAAGCATCTGTGACTCACAAGGTCTCAAATTCCATACCTAAAGGGGAAGTTAACGTTGGGAGCAAAGATAAAATGGTAGGATTATTTACAGAGCCTTCCACCAGCAGTGATGGCCTGCCACAGGGGAGAGTATGTTTTCAGGCTGCTACTATAATGCAGGGTACTCCACAAGTCAATATGGAGACAAAAGATGGTGTAGAAAGTGCAGTAATATCTACTAGTGCTAGGATGCTGAAAAATGAAAATATTCATGATAAGCAGAATAAAATAAATAAAATGCAAGCAGGCAATGGCTCTACTAGCAAGACAGTTGGTAAACAGCAGACTTCTCTCGACACAGATCATTGTAATGTAACTGCCAGTTGTTGTGGCGATGGACATATCCATAATGGCAGCAGAAAACAGAAGTCTGTGCATTTTTGTCCTGTTGAAGATAAATCCTGCCTCTTCGAGATTCAGAATAGTGGCAAAAATAGGAGCAAAATGCCCAGTGGAACATTGTTACAAGCTGGAGGAGTGCAGAAAGGTGACAGTTGTCCTGGGGATATTCTGAAAGACTCTCTGTTAAAATCCAGAGCTGCTTCTGCTGTAGATGGTATTCAGAATGGGGCATTCTCTGATCCCTTCTCCGAATCTAAAGACTTTGAAGACAGCTTCAAGCTGGATACTCAGACTGAGAGGATCTTAAAACAGGAGGTAGCAGTTGGAACTGCAGGAGATCAGGGAAAACGAGGTACAGAGCTGGCAGCATCACCACAGCAAGAAATCTCCAACTTACTGAGCTGTGCTAGTACTTCACGGGCTGAAAAGGCTCCTGATGAAAAACTGGCTGCAACAGTTAGGGGGCTGGGCTTATCGAGTTTTGGCACAACAAACAACATCACAAAAGCCGTCGATCACCCCTGCAGTCATAAAGTTAGGGAGTCTGGAAGCCTTAATTTGCAGCCTCTAGGGAAAGAAACAGAATCTGCCCCTTGCCTTAAAGGATGCAATTTCTCAGTGACTGACTCCCAGCTGCACAGTTTTCTACAGGATTACCAGACCCAGCATTCGGTGAAAGGGGAATGTGCCTCCAAAGGCCCTACTGAAAGGGCCTCTCCTGATGGCAGGCAGCACCTTGTGCAGCTAGAAAGCCCAAATCCTGTCCCCGAAACCAGCCTCAACATGAGTGATAGCTTGCTGTTTGATGACAGCTTCAGCAATGTCAGTGACCTTTCAGCTCCTCACGTCATGGAGGCTGACAGAGAAGAACCTGGGGGAGAGCAGGAGGTTTTGCCCGCCTCAGATGTTTTTTTGCAGAACCTAAGGCCTGTGCAGAATAAATCTGAGGTCAGTGGCAATCAGAAAGAGCCTGAGGAGCCTGCACAGTGTAACAATGTGTCTCTAGCATTCTCTGATGTGATAGCTGAAGTTTTAGATCATGCAAATTCCCCATCATTTCTGGGAGATCTTCCTTCCACAATTCATGCTCAGTCAGTGATTCATAGCAGTGAACCCAGACCAATGGATTTAGTGGAAGAACTACCTGAGAAGCTTCAAAAAAGCCAACGAGCTTTAGACAAGAAAATCCATCCAGTGGCATGGACTGACTGCACGTTTGAACTAAGCCCAGGATTGCAGGATGTCTTAGACAAATGGCCCAGTCCTTCAGGCATTGAGCCTGTTTCAGGAAGTCCAAGAAGCTCCTGTTTGAAAGGAAAGTTAGTTGCTTTGGATGCTAAACAGGAGCCAGCTCCAGTTTTTGAATTGGACCCTTGTCAGCCAGAGTCTTTGCCCACGTGCCAGGATTTAAAAAACTCTTGCAAAGATCCGCCACCAGACAGTGCTAATGGGTTTATTCCTCCAACACCGCCGACAGAGCCTTTTTCAAAGAGTTTGGTAACATCTGGGAAGAAGAGACGTGTTACCTACACAAATGAAGGGCAGCAGTTCCAATCGAAGCAGAATAGGAGGGATGATGCAGAGCAGCAGGAAAACCCACTGCAGTTGAATGCCGGGAGGGGAGACCCAGCCGAGGCTGACGGGAAGGATGATTCCATTATAGACCAAGGCTTTTCACTGCAGCTGTCTCAGGATGTTTCACCACTCGTTCCGTCAAGTGCCGAAAGCTTCACTATTATTGATGTAGCAAGCGACAAGGCGCTTTTCCAGACTTTCCTTGCAGAATGGAGAGAGAAAAGCAGATTCTCCGTCTCGGTAGCATGCGAGAGAGCCAAGTGTCTCTTGTCTCCCAGATCCACAATTGGTGGCAGATTCAAACAAGGTCAGTTCCGTGTTGCCGTTGGTTATTTTGCAGGCAACAAGGTGGCTTCTTCATTTTAAGGCGAGAGAGGAAAAGATTGGCAAAAAGAAAGGAGGAAAATTGCTGACGTAATTGAATATCGTTGATCCCTGTAAAGCAAACGAGCTGGGTCTTGGCAGAGGATGGGGAGGTCAAGCATTGCATGGGGGGATGGAGCTGGGAAGAATAAGCCTGTGGTGCTAGTCCTTGCTTGTGACTTTTTGTCTTTTTTTGTTTTGTTTTCTTTCCATGTTTTAGTGAATTTTAATGTATTTTAAAATCAGTATTTGGGAGTATACTGTACTCTCAAATTGTTCAGGGTTTGCACCAAGCAGTGTTGTTGAGCTTAGGAGAAATACTCTGCAGTCAGCAAAAGGTTAATTCATAATTCACTGTTATATGAAATTTAGATCAGTTCCCGGGCTTTTGTAACTGCTTATTTTTTTTCCCTTTGCTGCCAGACATGTTCATGTCTTCCACTTTGTTACTTGCTGCTGCTATATCAACATACTCTTCCTGTAAAATTACAAGATTAAGCAGAGTTGGGTTACTTGCTATCATATGGTCGTCACAACAGCCCATCTTCACTATGAAAATATAATTCTGATGGACAAATACAGAATGTTTCACAGAGCGAAAGGAGGAAATAGAATTAAGTCTCAACACTTCAAGAGATTTCTAGGAAAGGCCAGAGTTAGTATGTTGTACTGGTCATTAAAGGAGAAGAGAAGATCTTACCATTCTTAACATTTTTTTTTCCAGAAAATAAAAAAGCACAGAATTTCTCTCTATAGGTAAACGTTACATATAATTTTAAAGGAATTTAGACAGCTGTGTGCATTTAAATTTTCCGAATCCAAACTCTTCTGTATTTACAGATGCCTTTTTATAATTGTAACTAAAAGCATATTCCCCTAGTAAAATCTCCTCAGAGAACACGAGTTCAAGGTGATGGATTTCCTGTCCAAGGCTGCGAAGACGTCTTGGTAGTGGGACTGGCCGTGTGTTGGGGTGGAAAAGATGCCTACTACATCTCTTTGCAGCAGAGCCAAGCTGAGACAGGTGAGCAAGCAGAGAGGTCCTGCTGCATTTCTTGATGCTGTGTTTCAAGAAACAAGCTGGGGGAGATGATAGATTCTTTTGAAGTGTTTTGAACATCCCTACCACAGCTCTGCTGTGCACCAGGCAATTAGCTATGTTACTTGTGCAGTGCTCTTAAGTGTCTTACGTGTTCAATACCCTTGAACAAATGGCTGTGGGTATTTGCTGCTCTATGAGAAGGGCAGGTGGTGGGCTAAAGCACTGGGCTGCGTATCATGCGGACTGCTTAAATGCTACCCTTACTCCCTTGTTTCCTTTCAACTTCCTCCAGCTTCAAGAACAAATGTGCTCATGGGAATGAGTGGATATGGGGAGTGTTACTAGCACAAAGGACATGACCCACCTGTGCTATTAGCTTCATGGCTAGGGGTTGATTCCTGTACCTCCTTCAGTTATAGATACAGCATATTGCTTTCTGGGTGCTATGAAACTATAGAGTTCTGGGTTTGCTATGCTACAATAAATAAAAACATAAAAACAGCATTATTTTCTTGTTATTTGTGCACTGTGCACAGTACTTCATGTTTCAGTTGATAGAATTCAAGATTTTTTCTCACCCTTCCTACCTTATAATAGATAAATAGATGATCTTTGCTTGTGTTTCCTGTCCTAGAAATAAGTATGAGTTTGGCACCGCCACCTTTGGATGAAAACCTGTCAGTAACAGAGAGACTGTATCACTTGCAGCAGTACCTGCAGAAGACAACCAAGCAAGAGCGTTCAATGGTCATGTACAACTTCATTCAGCACTACAAGACCCTGGTGATGGCTTGTGGCATCTCCTTGGAAGGAAGCTTTGAGGACCCAAAGGTCTGTAGGATTAAGAAATTGATTGGGCAAAACTACTATTTTAAACAGACAAATGGGAAGACATGTCACTCCTTCCCCTAGAGCCAAGAATCCTTCTCCATCTCCCAACCAGTGGTATGGAAGTGTGTGCATCACCACCAGACGTGTCATTCTCAGTGCTTTTCATCACTGTGCAGCTGTGTTTTCATCATTGCGGCCACGTTTCTATGTAGAGTCAACCAGGGCTTTCTGTCCTCTTCCTCCAGCTGAGGAGTCCATCTTTCTAGAGCCTTGGAAATCTTAGCTCGAGTGGGATGAGTCCATCCGTGCTCAGCTGTTTTGACCGATGTTTCTGTGGTTAGTAACACCTGATATGGCCCATACCACCCTGCCACCAGCAGTACTTCTTTCTGCTCTTGGCCCAAGATCCACTCTCCTGGTTGGATCTTATGCCTGCAAAATCTAAGGGCAGGGTCTGTGCCAGCTGGGCTTTCTGTCAGAGAGATTTTACAAGACACAGTGTTCTGGCCACATATTGCCTACTAGACCTAGGAGATGTCGTGGTGCTTTCTTAGTCCTGGGTGACGGTATTTCTAAAATTCCCTAAATTCTTTTTTCTGGGTGAATACATCATAAACCTTCAGAAAAAATGTGTCCCAAACATTTGACCCTTCTTTCCTCTATTTGTGTTTTCTTTTCAGACACTTTTTGAGCACCACTCCCTAAAAAAATGGAGACAATTCACAGGGGCTCCCTTTACCCCCTCTCCTGTTCCCCTCATAGCAGCACGTCACCCACCTGCTGCGGTAACCTGATTCCTGGCGGTGGGGTAAATTCCCTCAGTATCTTCTGCAAGGCTGGCCCAAATGTGGGACTGATGTGCTGCTCCTTCTGGGAGGACCATCCATGTCAACTATTGTTTTATCATTTGCTTGTTTGGTTGATTGTTTTTTCGTTGTTTTCTCCTCTTGTTCCCATTCAAAGGCCTGCTCCCTGCAGGGACTCAGTAATAGGTTGTAACCCTGTCCTTCCCTCCCATGAAAAAGGATGCTGCTTTTTTAATGCTGCTTTTTTTTGTTTTAAGGACTAGCTTTTGCAAGATCATCCTTCTTTCCTTGGATCCAAATAGAATTCCTAAAAGAAACCCCCAATCTTTTCAAGTGTAAAGATTACCTGCTTTTCTTCCCCATTCCTATAGGATCATCCTAAACAAAGGGGACTTTTATTTTATTTATTTATTCATTCATTCATTCATTTATTTAATTCCCTTATACCTTGAGTGGTCAGGGACACAATCACAAATCTAACCCCCCTAAATGTGGAGATTTCACACATTTGTAAAGATAAAGGCTCTCTTGTTCCACTCCTAGCCAAAAGCCAGATCACTTTTAAGATGGTAGATGGTATGGTGCATACCAAAGGGAAAATAGCAGAATTCTTACTGCTAGTATTGATATGCAGAAAAAAAAGAGAGCCCAGCCTGACCCAGATTCTAAATTGATAGCAACTCTAGATTTTTACAAAGTCAGCTTTCAGAGTAAACATAATCTTGGTTTTCGTATTTAAACCATTTTTTAAAATTTTGGTATGTGACAAACAGAGCGCATCACTTTTATGCGTTTAGTTTACAGAGGATAAGGTTTTTAAATTCATTTTCAGTGAGAATGAAGCTTTTCAGTGACTTTACCATCTTGAAGTTTCTGTCTGAGATCATGTGACTTTTTTCACAAATGCTTCCAGTCTGCCTGCCAGCTCAAGACAAGTGACCTGCTCTATAACCTCGCATTAACCTGCAGTTATTTATTTGCACTGTATTATGATTAAAATGCTGGAAATGTCTCATGGAGGGTCTCTCTCTTCCAAGGTTGCCTGTTGGCTGCTTGACTGTGGCTCCAAGGAGCGTACCCTGCACAGCATGGTGACGAGCTTCCTCCCCCATGAGCTACCTCTGCTGGAGGGCGTAGGCACTGGCCAAGGGGTGCAGAGCTTGGGCCTTAGTGCCTCTACAGAGCACTCTGGGCGGTACCGAGCAGCTGTAGAGTCTGTGCTTGCCTTCAACGTCATGAACCAGCTCCACGCTGAACTGCAGAAGGAGAATCTGGCAGGTAAAGAGAGCTCTTCTGCTTAAAGGCGGAGGTAGAGGGTAAGGGGAGCTGCTGGAGCATGAGGTAAATGATGAGGGGAGAAGAAAGGTGCTTTGGGAGTTCTTATCTAAGAGCATGGCAAAACACTGACTTGTTAAAAGAAAAAAGGGATTTCCTTTTGGAAGTACCTCTGATCTGTCAAAAAATTAAATTTTGGGGGACAATTTGTGGGTTTGAGGTAGGATTTAAGAGGTGTTTGTGTCCCAAATATCCAACAGTTCCATTGGTTAAGGCACCCACTTGGGTTACAGCAAATCTCTGAATCAAACAAATCTCAGACTTGGTCCTTGGCTGTCCTCTTCCAGGCAAGTGCCTTGGCCAGCCATTCAGAGGGGATTTTGTGGGCATCCCTATAGTTTCTCATGAACATTTTCAAAGGATGTTGCTTTTCTTTGCTCATTTTGCATCGCATCTGTGAAATTCTTGTAAACTTAAACTGAATGATCCAGAGCCTTTCCACAAAAATTTTGCTGGCTGCCTGTTCCTGTGAAATTAGAAAACCTTAGTGCCTCATTCCTGAGCCTTGCAATTTTGTCTCCAGTAGATTGTTAGCCAAACTTTAAGGTTAAGGCCAAGACCTGTTAAATCTTGTATCACCAGTTTACAACATCATTTATGATCATTATATATAAATTTTGGAACATCTTTAAAAGATGTCAGTGGTGGAATGAAAGGGTATCAACTTCGATAGTCTTGTAGTAGGCCTGTGGTTTATAGCATGTTCAAATCCAAGGAGGTGGCTGTTTCTTAGCAAAAACATTTTGGGCACAAGCTGTGATACTCTGAAAACAAAGATATTTAAGATGAATCTGTATTGAAAGATTTTGTTGTGGAAGGACATTCAGGATTTTAAAATTTAAGTGATATTCTAGGATTGCCCAGCTACATTTGATGAACCAGCTATAAAAATGTTCTGGTTTTGATGCCATTAGTTTTTCCTGACTTTTGTACACACTGCAGATGCATTTTCCAAAGTGGAGATGCCTACCCAGTACTGCTTGGCTCTGCTGGAGCTGAATGGCATTGGTTTCAGCACGGCAGCCTACGAGGCCCAGAAGCAAGTGATGCAGGCGAAACTGAGGGAGCTTGAGACCAAGGCTTACCAGCTCGCTGGCCACAGCTTCTCCTTGACCAGCCCCGATGATGTTGCAGAGGTGAGAGATGTTTCCCTGTTTGCCCCATCATTCACGTTCCTCTACCCTCTTTCTCCACATTCCCCACTCTTCTCCCCCATTTCGCCCCTCCCTCCAGTCTCTTTCTTCTCTCCCTTCCCTTCCCCTTCCCTCTCTCCCCATCTTTCTTTGGAAAGACGTCTTTGTCTTTCTTCCCGCTTTCACTTCTTCTCACCTTCATTATTTTCCCACACTTTCGACAGTCTACTTGTGCTTTTGATGGTTTGCCTGCATGCTCAGTGGCTTGTCCACACTTTCCCTGTGCTTTCACAGAATCACAGAATTCCCAACAGCCTTGCTCATTTACCCACATTTTCCTTTTTTTCTCTTTCCTTCTTGGTTTCCCTTCTTCCTTTTTCCTGCTTTCACTTCTCCATTTCACTTCTCCACCCCTTGTACTTTTTCCCCACACTTTTTCTCCACTGTTTTATTTCTCCCCGCCATGCTTTCATTTTTCCCCCCACGCTTTCCCTTTTTTGTCATACTTTCACCTTTTTTTCCCATGCTTTCACTTTTTCCCTCAATGTCACCTTTTCCTCTGCTTTCATTTTTTCCACCTCATTTTCATTTTTTTCTCTTTCACTTTTTTATCTTTTGCCACCTATTCTTCTTTCTGCTTTTGCTGTTTTTTCCACTTTCACTTTTTTTTTTCTTTTTAATCATTTTCCCCATACTTTCACTTCTCCTCCGCTTTTACCCACATTTTCTTTTCCCACTTTTCCCTGTTTTTCACCCCCTTTTTCCCTGTTTTCCTCCACGCTTTGCCTGGTTTTGCTGCCCCCTTGCTTTCCTCCCTAGTCCACCCAACTTTCCCTATTTTCACCTACTGTTTCCCCCCACACACTGTTCCTTTTTCCCCATATAATAATTTCCCCAATAATGCCCTGGTCTAATTTCAGCTTGCTCAGGGAAAACAGGAAGAAAAACTTTTCTGAGATGTAGTTTTCTTAAATGTGAAAGCTTGTTCTTCATGTAAAACTTCTTTAGGAACCATTTGACATATCCTGTATTGATTAGTAGAGCTTTATTCCCTTTTAATTTTGTTTCTTTGAAACTTTTGTGCTGCGCAAACATATGAGAAAACAACTTTTGCTTCCTTCTGCCACCTGTGAAATGAAGCACAATAGCTGTTAAACAGTGTATTCTGCTGCACAAAGACCAAAAAATGAAGCGCTGTATTGTTTCTGCTGACAAGTGAATGTATACTTCATTTTCTTTCTCCTGGCACATTGCAGGAAAACTAATATTCAAGGTATTTTGGGAAAAAAAAGTGTTTGGGACCACTTCCTTGTGTGCCATTTGTGTGTGTCTGAGGGCTGTTTCCTGCAAGGATTTCTCTGCTGATTTTCTTCCCATTTTCTGTCATTTTAGCTCCGTACTTTATAGTATGCTGTCAGCAGCAACCTCACTTACTGGATGCAGTTAATTACCTTTTCTAAAAACACACATCTGAACTCAAACTTACAGTATTTAGAAAATGAGATTTTGTAGTTAATTAAAATGAGGAGGAATTACTTTGATAGCACAGATCATTAATCAGCTTTTTAATTGCCTAAAGCATTAGTACTGTTCTTTGGTTAGAGTACAGGCTGTTTAAATGCTCAGTCATTCAGTCATTGCTGTCCTCCAGAGAGCAGCATATAGAAACTGAAATGCTGATTTTTTTCAGGTTCTCTTCCTGGAGCTGAAGTTGCCACGAAATGGAGACGTGAAAGTTAAAGGGAACAAGAAAACACTGGGTTGTGCAAGAAGAGCAAGTGCCAGTGGGAACAGGGTTAGGCTGAGCAAGCAGTTTAGTACAACCAAGGTACAGTCAAGTCTGGTTCTAGTTTGAAAACGACTGTAAAAATAACTCTTTTTAATTCACACATCTGCTCTCAGGGTACATCGAAGTTAGATTTGCTGATTGAAATGATAGTAAATTTTTGCTTCCTTCTGCTGTCCAGTTAGCTCCAGATACCGCTGGACATTCAAACTGGATTCTGTCTTCTTCATGAGTGGAATTATCAACTCCTCCTCCTCTTCAAAGGCCTGCATGTAGTGAGGGCATAATTATAAATAGAAGGCTTTAATAAGAATAAGTCAGGCAGAATTTGGTTTGCAGAACAAAGTCGAAGACCAAAATAGCACAGTAATTTTGTAAAGCCAACAGCAGAAGAATTTTACAGCATCAGCTTGAAATTTACTTACATAAGGTGATTAAACACAATATTTTTCCTGCCTCTTTCTACTATATCTATGTTTTGTGCTTCAAAAAACCTATTTTCAGAATGATTAACCTGGCCCATCAAATCACACATATCAGAGGCTTGTGAAAACTACCAACATGTGTGGCAGTTAATATATTAATATTGGCATATTAATACATTACCAGTTACCTCAGGCTGGTGACTGCTGTTGTCAGTGATGTCGGCAGATTTTTGTTTCTATTAACAGAAACAAGTTTGCTGTCTTCAGTACACAAGTTTTCCCCTTGTTCCATAGAAGTTAGTGGCTGGAAGGCAGGGATTCATCTCTGAAACTCAAGTGGCAGTGAAGAAGTGCATGTAGTGCTGGCAGGTCAGGGAGCAAGAGGCAAAGTGCAGGGCTGAAGCTTTGCCAACTGCTGAATACAAGAATATTATTTTGAGAAAATCTTGTGCAAATGATTGAAATTCTTGTCAGTGCCTTCATTTTTCTGATGCTAACTAAAAAGATTTTTTTTTGCTGCTTTTGTCTTGCAAGGAGCATGGTTGAGGGCTTTGTTTTATGTATCCCTAGCATACAGATAGGAGAGAACAGGGAGAGAAATGTGCAAGAAGCTGGAGGAGGAGCAGCATTAACACTGACCAAGAGGAGGAAATATAGGGGGCCCATGGCAAGTGATGCTTTGTTTGACTGTTTCAAGTGACTTACTTGTTGGTGCATGCTCAAGGGTGGTGATGAGGATACTGCAGCCATGTCTCAGAGGGCTTTCATTGACCAGGGGCTGGTAGTGTAAGTGGGGGGATGTGCATGTGATGGAATGACTTTGGAAACTTGCTCTGGGTGAAGAAGTGTTTTTCCCTGCAGAACTGTGAAACCTGTATTTAATAAATAAGCTTTTAAGGTAGCTAAATGCAGTCTTTTCTCTCCACAAGGATGTTTTGGAGAAATTAAAGACACTTCACCCATTGCCAGGGCTGATACTGGAGTGGAGAAGGATCAACAATGCTATTACTAAAGTCGTGTTTCCACTACAGAGGGAAAAGCGTTTCAGTTCCTCCCTGGGAATGGAGAGGATATATCCAGTGTCACAGACTCACACAGCAACAGGTAAAGAAATGTGTGCCAATATCCCTTGCCATTGCTTTTTAGCAGCTTTCCTAAGGAGGAAGTGACAAGAAGTGAAGCCTGTTTTGCTTTTCAAACCAAGTGACAGTATTAAAACAGTTGTTTCACTTTGATCTGCCTTAATAGTCCAGATACATTATAATTCCTAGCTTTTATATTCCCAGAGTAGTAGTACTCCTTTTTTGCAAGTATTAGCATGTAAATCTTTGACCCCAGAAGAGGACCAAGGTTTGGGGGTTGTTGTTGTTTTGTTTTTTAATTTTATTAATGATATGAAAAAGCTGCAATGGAAACCACCTTAAAACCATTAAATCCAAATTGAATTTTACTGACTGCCCTCTGAAAAAATGGCCAAAACCTTAAAGGTAGGAGTAATGAGAGAGAGAATTATGACAACTTTGGGAAAGATGTCATAAGCTTGCTAAGCTGAAAACAGAATCCAAGAGGCTGTTACAACTATAATTCCTGGTGGAAAACAGCAAAGTAGCAAAGTTGTAAAGCATCCATCACCAGAGAAAGACATTCTAGTTTAGAATAAAAGCGTAGTAAGGCTGGAAAATAGATTTGTTTACAAAACGTGCTTGATAGACAGTGGATTTGGTCTTGCTTCTCTTAGCAGGTTTCTGAGCTCATAAAGCAGCAGTGGGACAATGCTTCCTTTTCCTCAGTTTTTTGCTTTTGCCCAGAAAAACTTGGTTAGAGGTTAGAAGCATTGGGTTGGAGAGGTTCTTTGGGGCTCTTTCTTATTCCGTCTTGTCTTGCTTCTCAGGTCGAATAACCTTCACAGAGCCAAATATCCAGAATGTGCCAAGAGATTTTGAGATTGAAATGCCAACTGTGGTTGAAGAGAGCCCACCCTCCCGAGCCCGGGGAAATGGTTATTCTCGTGCTGTTTCTGGGGACAGGTAGGATCTGGCAAAGCTTCTGTCTGCTCTGCTTGTCTGAATTTGGTTGAGTTGTCAAGCTTTTCCTTTCTGGCTTCCCCCGTGGCTGTGGTCATGGCTGTGTGACTCATTACTCAGTGTTTCTTTTATAATTTCAGGGGAACAAATTCCTAAATATCAGCGACACATGAAAGGCACAATAAGACTAAATAAGAGTATGTGGTTTCATGTGCCTTTTGCTTCTGAAGCTCTTTATGAAATCCTACAGAGATGAAATTAGTGTTTTACTCCCTGTTATTGATTGGAAAGCCTGAGTGTGAAGAAAATCTAGAGTGTGAAGAAAATCTGAAATAAGACTGGTTATAAAACCTCCCAGGACCTCTTCTGAAAGAGGAGGGAATTTTGTGGCAGAAGTAGAAGAAGGTACAGCAGTTTTATGCCATGCCACTCGCAGCATCAGAGAGCACAGGTGGAGGTGGATGTTTTTTTCATAGAATCATAGAATCCTTAAGGTTGGAAGGGACCTCTAGAGGACATCTAGTCCAACCCCCTGCACACACAGGGTCACCCAGAGCACATGACACAGGGCTGCGTCCAAGCGGGTTTGGAAGATCTCCAGAGAAGGAGACTCCACAACCTTTCTTGGCAGCCTGTGCCAGTGCTCTGTGACCCTTTTTTGTTCTCTGTTAATGATTTTACTTGTTATAAATCATCTTTTGCAAAAATGGGAAGATAGCAGAACAGTTCTAAATCCAAATCTGGTTTCTCCTAACTAAACAAACCTATTTTGACAGCATGGGGTGTAAATGCTTGAACAACTGCGTAGCAGTCTGGTAAGCAAGATGCATCTTTGTATCTCTTCTCCTACCACAGTGTGCCGAGCGCATTGAATGGGTCAAAGAAGGGAACACAGGAATAACAGGATCTCGTCTGTTGTCTCTGTTCTCCAGAAGAACAAGACCTGTTGCTGGAGGCAAAAGTAGCAGTCTGAGGAGTTGCTCTGGCAATAGAGGTCAAGCTCACAGCAGCTTTGCAGGATGGTTGGATAGTGTCCTGGGATCTTGGAGATTTCCTTGAACAGGAGCAGCCATCTGGAGAAGTGGAAGGCTAGCCGTGCTTTCTAAGACACCTGCTTCTCCGCCTGACTTTTGGAGATAAATTCCTTGAGCCACAGTGCTAGGAAGAGTGACTGCTAGCACACAATAAGTTGTTGTGTAGTCAGTTGTGTAGTCACTGCTCCAGGCATGCAGGTGCAGGCCTTCCAGGCTTGAGTCTGACTCATCCTTTGTCTCGCTAACCTGCCTAGCTGTCAGTGATCCTTCTTCTTCCTTCTGCTGTAAGAAGCTTCTAACCTCAGGAGTGTAGCTGATTTATATTGTGTTAAAAAGCCCTTATTCATTCAGCTACCCCACAATGGCCACTCAAGGTCAAAAGAAAATCAGCTGGCTTTGGGGATTTTTTTTTGCTTCACCTTTACAGAGAAAAAATAATAAGATATTCTAAATATGTCTTCTGCAACTTCTGTTCCACTTTTGCAGGCCTACTTGTGTGTACACTAGCATGTGTGTATGCAAGTGTATGTGTGTGCACTGGCTAGTGTTGTGGGGAAATCTATTCTGTCTCTACTAGGCATAGTTGGTGTGGGTGATAACATGCAAATGGTATTGGGAGAAGACTTGTCACTCAAGCTGGGATGTTGAATTTTTACGATTCTTTTAGGGCTCTGTAGCTACCTTTCTCAACTGCACACATTACAGGTTTGGGAACTTTCTTCTTACCTGTTCTGGAGTGAAATTATCCATTTTGGGACCAAACATTGAATATACCAGGAAAACTTACCTTTAGATCTGCTCAGAATCAGTAAAACCCTTCAAGTGTTCCTATGTCTTCCGTCTAATTCTCCCACGTTCAGAACAGCCATGGATTGCTCAGAAGAATGGAATAGAAGCTATTGTCTCTGTATTCACTAATTCATTGCAGAAGAGAAAAAATGATTAAGCATCTTTAAACATAGTTTCTAAACCCCATGAAGCACAATTGGTCTTTTTGTCTCCACAGAGGTCGAATGCGCTCCAGTATTTTGCCTAATGGGGCCAAGATTCAGGCTGAAGACCAAGCTGAAGAAAGAGGAATCCCATTTTCTGTTAGCATGAGGCATGCTTTTGTTCCCTTCCCAGGTAATGCTCAGATCCTGCTCTGTGCCAGCTATTTCTTAAGAACTTAGCTAACAAAAAAACTTAGATGAAGAGTGGAACAAACTATAACAGTATGTACCTGTTTTGGCAGCCTACTTGGAAATCCAATTCTGTCATTACAGAGTTTGCCCTCGGAATTAGTCACAAGGAGGCTGTAAAGGAAAGCATTTGAGCTGGGGAAAGCATTCAAATGTTGTGAATCAAATGTTCACACTTTCATTGCCTCTTTAAGTATATATAATTTTTAAAGAGCTATACTTATGCAGCCAATAAGACACAAATTGCAGTCTTACCTGATGTTTGCTGACATGTTTCTAATGGCAGTCCCCTTGCCTTCCCTGGCTTGTTACAATTCTGCTGCTCTGACCCCTGTGCTGATCATTCATATGAAGTATTAGACTCTTTAACAGAAGCCCAAAGAGATTCCTGTCTGGCAGTATTTATTGGGGCCAAGATGTAAGGGCTGGATGATAATCAGGCAGGCTTTGGGGCAATAGGCAAGAATCTGGTTGCATTTTTACTGCTAACTGGGAACGCTTTCAGCAGTGGCAGAAGCAGCCCATAATGCCTTTCCTAAGAAGACAGATTGAGGCAGGCTGAAGTAACAGCTTTTGAGCTGTGTCATGCATGTGCAGGAGTGCATGGAGAAAGTTGTATGGAACTTTGTTGTATAGTTGTATAGGGAAAACTTTGAGAGCAGAAGGAGCAAGTAGAGCAACTAAGAAGCTCCAGTCCCTTTTACTGTGTATCGCTGTGTATGCCTGTGTGAAGCTACTTCCAGTGCATGAGGGAAAATTCTAATTTAGTAGGATGTGCTCTGTCCTTTTCATGCTCGTATCCAACAGGCATAAATGATGGCAACAGTCAGGCAGATGGGATTCAGGCCTTCAGTTTCTCAGGGGATGGATGATCATGGGGTTGGAGTGATGTGGAGTGTGATTAGAGTAATTTCTGAAATAATATTGCTTCAGACTAACTCAGTGTTCACTTCAGGTGGCTTAATGTTGGCTGCTGATTACTCTCAGCTTGAGCTGAGGATCCTTGCTCACTTCTCTGGCGACCACAGGCTCATCCAAGCCTTAAATGGAGGTATTGATGTCTTCAGGAGAATCGCAGCGGAATGGAAAATGCTTGATCCTGCAGCTGTTGGGGATGACATCAGGCAACAAGCTAAGCAGGTATTTTTTAGCAAAAATAATTATGCAGCAAATTGGTGAACAGGAAGGCTTGGGGCTCAAAGCACCAGGAAATCACAGCAGTAAGATTTTCTGTCTGGCTTCAGGGGTGACTGGAGTTGTTCAGGCCAGTAGCTGTTTAGTAATTCCTTTGTATGTCCTCCCAGTCTCAGCAAGTTTCAACTGGTGCTGACTGGGTTTTGAGGGAGGAAGGTGGGAAAATGTCTTGTACTTGGAGGTGGTCTCTGTTCTTCAGTGCATACCCTTGCCCCAACATGCCTGTCTTCCACTGATTTTGTTTTGGCTCTGCTTTCTCTTCATGGTTCGCCATACACCCGTGATTCCTGTGACTGTCCTCTGGCAGATTTGCTATGGAATCATCTATGGAATAGGAGCAAAATCTTTAGGGGAGCAGATGGGGATTGATGAAAATGAAGCTGCCGACTACATTGAATCCTTCAAATCCAGATACACAGGTTAGCATATGGGGGTTTAGGGCTTGGGCTACTCCCCTGCCCCTGCTTCTTCATTTTGCATCTCTTCAAATCCTAAATTTGGTTCTGTGCTCTGCTACTCCTAGCCTTTTCTTTTTTTTTTCCTTTTTTTTTTTCCCCCTTTTTTTAGGAAGCTTGGAAAAATTCCAGAACACAAGCATGAACAGAGCTGTTTTGTACTCTTTAATGTTGTATTCTAAGTCCTGTTTTATTCACCTTTAGGACATTGTTATTTTGTTCAATAATTAATCAACCCTGGAGATTAGTTTTAAAGCCCTAAGCTTTCTGGCTAAGAGAAAGAGTGAGGGTTTTTTTTTTCCCATGTTAAAACACATAACTTTAAAGGATACATAAGTTCTTATTCTTTAAATAGAACCATATATTTCTTATTTATTTCTTACATTCTTGTCTTCTGCTCTGTGGAAATTCAAGCTGTATATGCTATACTGCATATAACAATTCCATTTTTATCCAGTTACTCTAGTTCTCCGACACTTTGTGAAAAAAACATTGTTGCATTTCTAAGAAGCCTGTTAACTTTCTCCAGGAAAGCTACGGAAAGAGTGGAGTCGCAATCAGAAAATGATAGGAGGTCAAGCTCTAATTGTAACACTTGGAAATGAGCTGTAAAATAAAGTTCTGAAGATTCAGGCTTTGTTTGATCAAGTGAGAAATACTGTCCCATTAAGAGTCTGTTTAGTCCCCAGTAACTTCTTAATAGTCTGTCCTTTGCAGACCTTTCGAAATGGCTCCCTGCCTTCTCCCTCTCTCCGCACTCGCACACCTGCGAGCACACGCTGTGCAGTGTGTAGAGCTGGCTGCACCGCAGCTTCTGTTCCTCTGAATTTCACTTGTGTGTAATGTCAGGCTGACATACTAAATTACATGCCTAACAAATTAACTGCCGCTGACAGCCTTGGTCTTGAATAGTGCCTCTTGTGCTTTACATTTTATAAACCTTGGAAAGAAACTGTCTGAAGTGAACTTTTTCGCTTCAGTGCAGTTACTGTCTGAACTTGGAGTGAAAAGGACTGTTCCCTGTCTCACCATACTTTGACCTGTGTTTCTTTTTAATACCCTTCATGGTTTTGCTCCTTTCCTTACAGAGCACAGCTGGGTGAGCTTGTTTCATCCTAGAAGCTGAAGTGACTGATCTGAAATCAGACAGCCTGAGGGATCAAGGGCTCTGACTCCTACTTTCAACTTAACAGTCTTCCTACTACTTGTCTCTCCAGTGCTGCTCCAGGTCCTGACCTCTCCATGAGGTCTCCATTCTCGTGAACACTGCATGTGTCCTGTTCTGTGCCCGGTCACTATGCAGAACTGTTTCCTGTAGCCTTGTGCACAGCCAGCTATCCTGACACTATGCATATTTTCTTACAACTCAAAGCCTTAGTAAGTTCACTCAGCAGAGCTGAGAATAGGCTGAATGAATGATCCTGTGCTTTTGTCTCCTTGCCTGACAAGATTTCAGAAATGAAATTCGTTACCTACCTTGGTCCTTTTTAAGTTGCCCAGGCTCCTTGCAGTGACCCTAGTGAGGAGTTATCATGAGACATCATCTGTATTAGTGAATATTTTATCTTTCCTTTTACAGGGATTCAGAAATTCTTGAGGGAGACAGTGAAGAACTGCAAAAGGGATGGCTTTGTGCAGACCATTCTTGGTAGACGGCGATACCTGCCTGCCATCAGAGACCCCAACCCGTACAGTAAAGCTCACGTGCGTTGAAATCAGCACTTTTTTTTTTAAGTATCTGTTCTTGCATGTCCTTAACTGCAGCTTTACAGTGTCTGTCACCCATTTTAGTGACGACCTTGCACTTCTCACTTAGTTCACTATTGCCTCAGTTGCTTTCTGAATAAGAAAGCTTTTGTCATGGTCTGTTTGACACAAGTCTTCTGTGACTTGGTGTACAGCTGTCATCAGTGTTCTAACCTTACTTCATAACTCCCACTTTGGAAATGGAATGAGTAATATATTGATATAAGTGGACATGGTTTTTAAAAGCCCCCACATAGTGATGCTTTTAACTCTTCAGGCTGAGTTGCTCCCACTCAGCTGTCTTTGCATGTTGTCAGCACTTGAACAAGAAAGGACATTTCACGTCCTGTGTTTTCCAGGTATTTATTCTTTTTCTCATTTTCCCTTAAGGGAAGAAGTGATGTAACTGGTTAGATGCGTATTTACTTAATACTCACTCATGCATCAGTGGTATTTTTTTTTCAAGGTCATTTTGGACACGTCTGTCATAGACAGTAACAGCAAATTGCCTTCCCATGGTGACGGTGTATTTCTGATGCTGGATTTAATTTTTTTGGGGTGGGTGTTGAGAACAAGTATCTTTGTTTAGGCAGAGCGACAGGCTGTGAATACAACTGTGCAGGGATCTGCTGCTGACATTGTCAAAACAGCCACCGTGAACATTCAGAGGCGCCTGGAAGCTCTCTCCTCTGAGATCAAGTCTCATGGACACCTGGAGAGCTCCCTCCAGAGAGCTAAGGCTGGTATGCTCCCCTCTAGGGCTGGTATGCCCTAGGGGGAAACTTCTGGTGTTACCAATTAAGCTCCTAAAAACTTAGGGCTTGGGGTAAGGGTGGGTGAAAATTTTATTTCCTGGAATTAAGCCGGGAAGTTGTTGGCCTATATTGACCTGTATGCAGAAATTCCACAGTAATATTAAATGTTCATCAGCCTGAGTTCGTTCTGGAGACAGTTAGCAGGGATATGCTGGGGTTCTTGTTTCTAGGGATTGCTGTGAGGCCTTTTTGCAGCATAGTATAGTCGTATATTTTTAGAAGGATAATTTAAGGGATGGAGTGATGCATTTGTTTGCTAGTTCATAGGCTTCAATTTGTAACGTGAAGCTGTCTTAGTGTGAAGGAACTGATTCTAAGGCATGGGAAAGAAAACGAAGTTATTATTTGCTGAACCCCTAGCAATATACCAGGGATCTGTATATCAGAGAGGCAAAATTCAAAGGTCTTCCAAGAACACACCTTAGCTATAAGCAGAAGGTGTGCGATAGGAGGAGCTTCCCACCCTCCCCAGAGCCAGAAGCTACTGATCTTTGTCCAGCCTAATTGTAGGAAGGGGAGCAGCTGCATGTGGCAGCTACTTCTTCTCCTCTAATACCATGTGCTTCAAGAGTTTGAACGAATTCCCCTTCTGCAATTTATAGATTGCTATAAATATATACGGATATAACCTTTCCCATTATCCCAGCAGAGATGCATCCTAGAGCATGTGGGTGCCTCAGTGTTGCTGTGCTTCAATGCAGGGCTGATGTGAGCAACTGATGGTGCAGTGAAGCTCTTCCTGCAGCTGTGAGCTGGAACCCCGCCGTGTGCTAAACTGATAAACAGCTTCAGAGTCTCTATGCAGACATTCATTTACTTAATTATTTATTTAAGGTCCTTTCCATAAAACATTTCCTGTTTTTTTTGTTTGGCAGGCATAGCCAAATATAAGATCCTGCTTTGTCAGCTGTTTACTGGCTTATTCAAAGACTGCCCATTTTTTTATCACGAGTAGTAGCAACAGTTTCAGCTAACAGGATTTGGCTGGATGGAAAGAGTCTTTCTGGCTCCTCAGAACTAGCCATTAAACTGATTTCGGAAGACAAGCAGAATCCTAATTTGTTGCCAGAGAGAATGCTCTAAACCAAGTTCCGATTAAACTTGACATAAGTTTGTTTAAAATTTACTTTTAAAACAGATGGTTAAGGAGGTGCAACTGTCTGTCTTGCTTCTGTTCTGATTCACATCTTCATAATTTAAGTCTGAAATGTTTGTATCTAAAATGCTTTCCATTAACATTTTTCCTCTCAGTAGCTGTACAAATATTGATAGAATGGTAATGTTTCCTGGTTTTTTTATTATCTGTATGCCCAGACTTCTTCATTTTACTGTTCCTCGCGTTCTTTTTTCTTAGCATCCTGCATATGTGCAGGTTGTTGACTACAAGAAACATGTCTTTGCACAATGGTAGCTGACAGCCTGTGCTCTTGCCCTGCGCAGGAAGGCTGGAGGGCAAGCGGAGCAGATGCATGTTGCCTCCCATCAATGGCGGGTTCTTTGTTCTCCAGCTCCATGATGAGCTCCTCTATGAGGTCGCGGAAGACGATGTCATCCAGGTACAGTGAGCCCTGTTTATAAGACTTCTAGATGGTCCTGGCACGGTGAGTGGCTGTCAGCAGCGTCGCTGGGCTCTTCCTGGCTGCCTTTCAGGTTGTGTCTGTCACTGCCAAAGACAGCAGAAGGTGGCTTGGCTCAGCTGCTGGAGCTGACCTTGGCAATGAAGTGGCCGAGCTACGGTCTAGTTTAGGGACGAAAAGCTAGGTCCTGTTTAACCCCTTGCTGGTTCTCAGCGTAATTGTATGGATGCCTTTAAGCTGCCCAGCCTGTGTGTGCCGTGGCTGGGAGCTGAGAACACGGGAGGTGGTGCTGGTCGCTCAGCGTGCAGGCAAGGCAGAGCCCAGGCCCCAGCTCATGACCTTGCTGCATGGCCATCCCATGAGCTTCCCCCAGAGTTTCAGGCAGGGCTTTGTGGCTCCTCTGGAGCCTTTTCCAGCAGACTAAACTTCCCTTGCTCTGGGTGCAACAGCCCCAAATTGATGTTCCTCCCTGCCTGTGTGCAGTGGCATTTCTGTCCTCTGAACATTTCTTTTAAGGTACTGGGACCAAAATGTCCAGCCGAGGCCATAGCAAGTATTGAGTAGGATGACAAATTGATTGGTGTGTGGCTCAAGCAGCACTTTCTTCTTCCACATTCCAGAATCATATTTGCTTTCTCTTCATGACACTGTGCCTTGCTTTAGCTCTGTTCAATTTTGGATCTCTGATAATGCCATTTTTTTTTCCTGTCTGACTAGTTGCTCTCCATCCTGTATTTGAACAATAGATTATTTCTATCTTGGTTTTCCGTCCTGCTTTCTGTCATACTTTGTACTTGTCTGTGCTGAATTACATCCCGTTTCAGAGCATTTTTCTAGGTTATCATTTTGAAATGTGGTGTGCAAAGGTACAATATTTTAGAAGGCACATCTGTTCTTAGCATGGTTGTAAACTCTTCTTCTGCTCTGATCTTCTCAACCCCGCTCCTGCAGCTCCCTGTAAAAATTATGGTGAAATTTCTACTATAGGCACCTGTAAAGGAATTACAGGAAGGTACTGGGAAGTTAAAAACCTTGATTTTTTCCCATTTTGACCTTCTGGATGAGCTGGAGGACCTCACTCATCTTGAAGATTTCCTTTTTTGCTTGTTTTTTGTTTTGCCCTGCCCCGGAGAGGCTCACGGGATGAGTGTGGACAGAAGGATTCAGTGGTGTGTGTGGGCCCTGGGGCTGGAAAGGGGGGCCTCTCATCCAAGGCAGGTTCCGAAAAGCAGGAAGAAAAGTAATCTTCTTGTGATCCCAAAACCACAGGCAAAAACATTATATAGACTCCTGGCTGTGCACTTCAGTGCATGGTTTCTTGAAGATACCTTTTGAAGGCAGCAGTTAATGGAGGAGTTAATTAATGGAGCAATTAATAGCAGGGGTAAACCAAGGTAGTATCTAACCCTCGCATGACCCGCTTTCCCAGCAGTGATGGGATCCCAGGACTGATGTGTTTAGTCGCATTCCCTCCTGTGGTAAAGCAGAGCAAACAAAAAGGCAGTGAGGAGCTCCAGGGTGGTGGCCAGGCCAGACGCTGCCAGAAAAGCAGCGCAGGGAGCCCACGGGCAGCACCTCACGTGGGGCTGTTTCCTCGCAGGTGGCCCAGATCGTGAAGCACGAGATGGAAAATGCCCTCAAGCTCGCAGTCAGGTTGGACGTGAAAGTGAAAATCGGGCCCAGCTGGGGGGACCTGCAGGACCTGGAGCTTTAGCCGTGGGTCACGGCTCGCTGGCGTGCGGCGAGCCCGGGGCGGGCGCCCCTTTCCTCCCTGGCAGCCTCCGGTGGGTGCGCAGAGCCGTCCCCTTTCTAAAGACATCGCTGGGAGCTGCCTCTGAAGTGTGTCGTGGAAGCTGCCAGGAATCCACCAAAGCTGCCCAAGGTCGGACCGTGCAATGGAGAGTTTGCAGAACTCTGAAATTAATTGCTACAGTATAATATTTAAAGGAATTATTGTCTAAAATATGCCTATATTTAGTATTTTTTTTAATCTGAATGAATTTTCTACACATGAAATGAGCCGGAATGTTTTACTAAAAGAAAGGACAAAGATTGTTTGGAAGAGGCTGGGTTTGACTGTATGCAAGACGAAGATAAACTGTCATTTTGGTAGCACGTAACGCTGAATTTCACAGGTCCGTGCTGGGCTCACTGCAGTGACTTGTGCAGATGACACAAAGCACAGAAAGGGCCTTGCAGCTGCCTCTGTATCTCCCCGACGAGCTGTGCAGCGTGTGCAGCAAGTGGAACTCTGCTTGCTTGGCCTCGAAAGTCTTCTGTTGACTGAGTGGGGTCAGCCTTGGTCCGGGGCTCTCTATTGGTAACACCAAGCCATTAGTGGAAACGTTGACTTCTAAAGAGTGAAATCCTGAGTTGCAGATGATTATTGTTAAAAACTGAACTCCAAATGTTAAGTTCCTGAGGAAAACATCTGGATCTGAGGAGCCCATGTGGCCGCTTGCTGGTGTTTCGGGTCTTTTGTGGGGGACTTGTGGCTTTTCCTTTCTCTCCTACCCCTCCAGAGACTGGTCTTATGGGGAAGCCCTGGCCAAAGCCTGTTTAGCCTTGCTAAACATTGCTTAGATTTCACCTGGTGCTTTGCTTCAGTGCCCTTGGCTCCGTCCTGGGGAGCAGGTAGGAAGTTTTTTCCAAGAATTGGAGCGCGTTGGACAGACGCTCTCTGAGACTGCTGAGGCTTCGGGGAAAGGGGCAGAGCAGCGGCTCACGGGGAAGGACTCTGCCCGTGGTTGGTGTTGCCCTCCGCAAGGATAACTGCGGGGTCGGCTGAGCCTCGCAGCCCGTGACGTAATCTGGCTTCCAGCTTGTTGCACTGGTTGTACAACTGGGGCTGTTTCTGTTAACACACTATCAGACACTGCGTTTTATTCCTGTCATCGTGTGGCCCTTGCGTGTTACAAGAAAGGGAGAGGAGGGGCCTCTCATCAATATTCTTCATGTCTACTTTTTGTCTGGCCTCTCTTCTGCAGCTTTTCCCCAAAATAAGCAATTACAAGAGAAGCAATCTCAATCTTCCAGTTTCTGCCTCCTGTGAGAAATTTTCAGGCCCCTAATTATTCTCTCATTTCCGAACGTCTGCTGGATCCTTTTTAGTCTTTCTGCAGTTTCCTGCAACGAGGCTTGGAGCAGCCTGCGAGCGGCCTGAACCCGCAGCCTTCCCGCGTGGCGCTTCGGGGCGCGGAGGCCGCGGGGCTTTGCTGCTGGTTGTGCAGCGACACGGGCACCCGGGCCGGACACCGAGCGCTGGGCAGCGGTGCCCTGGCCGCCCCTCCCAGCACGGCCTCGACCTGCTTTTCCCTTTCATGCTTGTGCGTCCCTCTTCCTTTTGCCTTGCAGTTTCTCGCTCCTCTGACCTCCTCTGCAGGTGTTCCCTTCCCGCCGCCGTCACGGCGCACCCGGCACCCTGAGAGAGGAGCTCTTTGGCCGCCTCATTCCGTGCGTGGAACAGGCGCTTCCTTTCCCAGCTCATTAAAGCCTTTGCTGTTAATGGATCTGAGCCCTGGCACGCCAATGCCTCAACATTTGTGTGCCCTGCCTGTGGAGAGGCTGTGTTGGATTCCGCAGCAGCTCACGTGGCCTCATGGTTTCCTGTCCCTTGATGTCCCGCGGTGAGACACCTGCGCCACGCTTCAGGCCACGCTGGAATTCCTGTTTGGAATTCCTGATTTGAATGGCTCCTTCCACGGCACGTTACAGGGTTTGCCTCCCGCCTTCTGCATTTACAACCGCCAAGACGGCTCCTCAGACCTGTTCTCCGCACACTCTGCATGGGGGAGAGATCAATCAGTGAAATGATTGACGCTGAACTAAACTGATTTGATACACAAACTCAGTGAGTGAATCGTAATTAAGCAGTGATTTTTAGCAAATGAGAAGATAAAAGGTAGTCATTGCCTGACCCCTGCTATTTGCATTCCTTAATTCTGATTAGATTTTTAACTGTGAATGAGATTAAGCAGGGGAAGCAGAGGAGGACTCAGGTAAGGTAAGCAGGGCTGCTGCTTTGGACTGAGCTGAAGATTTATACCTGGTTTTCTTCCGGAGCTGGGAGGCAAGCCCAAAACAGCTTATTTAGTTTTCGCTGCCCAGCTTCTGTGAAGGGCCCTAGGCCAACATACAGTAGGAAACTGCTTTTTTTTTCAATAAGTCGGGACCCCTGAACCAGTGGGCAGGTTATTCCTCTTTGTATTCTTGTAGACGGAACACGCTGCACGTGTGTTTGCTCTCAGTTCTTCTGCGTGTCTGTTTCTCTCTCTCTCTGCAGTCCACGCTTGCCCCCTGTTAGCGGGCATGGCCCAGCTCACACGGTGCAGTGTCACACAGCAGCTTGGGAAGGGGACAACGTCAGGCTGGATGAACGCTGCAGAAAAGGGTAGGAATTCTGTTGACTACGGCAGCCCCATCCCATTCTGCAGCCTGGCTCTGCAGCCTGCCCTGTTCTGCCCTTGCCTGGATGATGCACCAGGTGGTGGCTCCTGTCGGCCAAAATAAACTGGGATGGGACCTGATACCAACCCAAACGTGCGCTCACCAGGAACGTGTTGGCCCCACATTGTGTGAGCCCCGTGAGCTACCTGCTCGCACAGAGCCTGTGCCCATGGGTTGTTGAGTAGCCTTGTTGCACTCGGTTCAGAGCTGCTGTCTGGTCAAAATCACTGAAACCCGCGACTGGGACCAAAGAGCAGGTTCTGAACCCTGTCTTCATCCGGCAGGTTATCCTGGGTTTAGCAGAATGAGCACCTACCACCGACGTCTGAGCTGCGTGGTCCTTTTCTTCATTTGCAGGACAGTCTTCTTCTGTCTTGGTCTGCTTGTTTCGTTCGGCTGAAGCCTTCTTTCCTTAGCTTGGTACCTACCAAAGGTGCTCTGGGGGCTTGCTTTTACTCGGGTAGTGGCGGGAGAAAGAGACACCTGACAAAAAAGCCAACGTGCAGGAAACGCAGTTCCGTCGGCTGCTCTCGCTTTCTCCCATGCTCCTTAGGTTTCATCAGCAAGAGAGTGGAGGAGTTGATTATTTCCTGATATTTTTTTCTCCTCTTTGACTGACATTTGGGTCTCTACTGTCAGAGCATCCGTATTTATTACACTTGTGGTAGCTGCGCTTCAATAAGCTGGATCCTGCCCTCTGAGAGCAGCAGCAGCAGGAGGAGGAGGAGGAGGAGGAGGAGGGGGAGGAGAGGGCCCGAGCCCTGCGCCATGACTTGACCTACAGGAAGAACGGGCAGCGCCCTGGGACTCCTGTGGCCTTGTGCCAGCTGAAAGCAGGGCACTTCCCCTGATCTGAACACACAGGTGCACTGGGACATGAAGTAAAATCACTAAAATAAGTCGCCCAGGTGCAAGACTAATATTCCTGAAGGCTGACCGTAGGGATCTGAGCTCCGCAAAGCGTAACAGCATGAGCTGGGGCTCCGGTTTTCCCCGCTGCTTGGATTGCTGGCGGGGGGGATATGCAGCTTCCCCCCGCGGCGAGAGCTGTGCCTCGATTTGCCAAAGTCCTGACTGAGGGGGTGGTGTAAACTGCATCCAAAGCTGCACCCCAGAGCAGGCATCTCTTGAAATACTATAAAGAATCAAGCAGCAAGAATTGAAAGAAACAGAGATCTACACCAACTAATACCAATTCTTTCCTTTCTTTCCCACATATTTCCTTCTTTGTTTTTATTGGGGAACTCAAAACAGCTTCAGGAAAAGGTGCCCTCAAGACTGAAATGTGCTTCAATTCACCTTTAGATGATAGAAAATGATGTAGGAGGACTGGGATATTTAAGGGGCTTGTAATTAAATGAAATCTGTCTTTTGGCTTGTGTTACAATGCACACAGTTTATAAATAACTGGAGGAGTCCAGAGACTGAATATAGCTTTTATTGAAACAGCAATGTATTTTTTCACTTCTGGAATTGTCTATTTAAAAAATAATATATTTTTGTATGTAGTATTTGTGTTGTAATAAACATGTTTGGGTGTGAGAGAGCTTCTGTAAAAAGAATATGTAGAATATTTTAGAGAGTTTCTGTATGTGATAACTTTATATAGTACGTGTAGTAAACAGTATTTCTGTTAAATATTTATGTAAGAAGCTCTATTCTGGTAATACAAGGAATGTCTAATTGATACTCAGGAGTGCGGTCTTCTATTCAAAATTTTAATAGTGAAGTCTAAGACTTAAAAAATCATTTAGAAAACTGGTGATTTTACAAAGCAAACCTGATGCTCGGTATTTCCTTTAGCTTGCCTTTTAATTAAAGATTTGAAGCTTAATTTAAAACTCGAGGATTTTTTCTTTTTAAACAAAAGAGCTTGTACTTCACTGAAGAGTTGCCTACAGTCACATAAAGAATTTAATTTATATTCCATATATTCTGTGTATCTACCGTGCTGTGCATAGGGGTGAGTCAGTATCTGCTCTCTTGCAACAGGATTCGAGCACTGATGGTAACTCTAGGGTTTTGCTTGAGCTGCTGCTGTCCAGGTGGAGAAGGGGACCGCACGTGAGGCCAGCACGCACAGGGACAACGAATATCCCTGGATTTCTTACAGCAAGGAAACTCAGATGCTGGGTTTGTTGCTCTGAACGCTGCATCTTTATTACTTTCATCAGTCGTCTTTCATAGAGTTCAGGCCTTTCAAAAATGCCCCACTCCCCCTCATTGCACAAGAAATCCTCCAGGCAGGAGCTCCACCGTCCTCACCAA